TGGGCAATCCATCTCTATACTGAAATACTTGCAGAGTGCTACACATACCTAGAACTTTATTCGGTTTCAGACTATTTTTTTTGTTTATTTTTTTCTGAGTCATCAAGTTCGAAATCGTTCGTCCATGTTCTATGATAATTCACAGAGTCAAGATAAACTTTTCAAACAACTACTGTTCTCTTTACTAGACGGACCGGGAGATTAAGGCGATTTCCCCTATCTACATATTTGTGGCTCTGAGTATGGCCAACCGGTCTGACACTGCCAACACCATCTAGGTCCAAGGCCCACTGATCGACCTTACTTAGTAGTCACTATTTTGTGCGAATTTTCGGCCTAGCAGAAAAGCAGCCTACGGACGGACATAGTGGCCACTCTGCAAAAATAAATCCTCTCACTAGCCGCAGCTCTCAGCCGGTGAGAGAATGGAACATCGCCAATCAATCAGGCTTTCCAGAGGATGAGAAGTAAAGTAGCATGGCATTTGTCCTTCTTTCGGAGAATACGTTGGATGGTTTCTAGTTTGTATTTTGAGTAGCAGAAATGGTAATATTCAGGTTTGATTCTCTGCTCCATATTACACCCAGTGGTATAGCGCATTGTTAGCTATGCATGTGCAAAAATGTAAGTCATGTACATCGAGGTCAATGCCGTGAAATATCAAAAGGTCCACCGAGTCAGATTTGCGCAGAAATGCTCATGCCATCGGTGCACATGTGAAAACCCCCCTTACAGCCCCCGTGTCAAATTGGCGTTTCTAGAAAATTCTGTTAGTAATGGCAACATAACCAGCTCATTGAACAAGGAATAGCTTACAATATCAACGATACTTGCATAGGTTCCGCCACCCAGCACAATGACCCCGACGCAGAACAGGAACGCAGCTGACAAGTCGTGCAGCAGCCGCTTCCGATCATTGTTTTCGCGCTTGCGCAGGAACATGAACCACATGATGGCCGGGATATAAAGGACGAACCCGGAAACAAACAAGGCCGAACTGAGGGCGAGAAGGTCGTTGAAAAACGGGATCACTTCCGAGATGACCCACGCAGAGACGGTGATGGCCAGCAGAACGAGCAGCCATGTGACCCAGCCCTTGGGGGTGTTAATGAACCGGACCACGGAGTTTTCGTACATGCGCAAATGAACATATCGCGCTGTGACCGTGTTGTTGAGAGCGCCGGAGATATAGATCACCGGCAGCGCGACCCCAAATGCGATTTTGGCCATCAAGCTGCTCATCGATAACAGGGCGGGACTCTGGACGTCTACGCCGACGAAGGCGTAGATCAATGCGCCGACGAGAGTGTAGATCACGATTTCCATGCCGCCCAGGGTCCAGATCGATTTCATGTAGTCCTGGGGCGTGTGCATCTCGTCCATGAAGGAAAACTGGTACATTGAGAAACTGTAGGCAAACACGATGTTTGACACAGCGATGAACCCATCTGCAACGGTCGTGCCGGGTCGGGGCCACGCAGACCAATTGACGCCCGCCAGACCCCCGGGGGAATTCGCTGCCTCGACGCCTGTGGCAATGATGGCGATAATAATAGCTGCCATAATCGAGACGAAGTCGATGTAGCCAAGGATAGCGGCATCGGTGAACGACGGCATGATGGCTAAAAGCATCAGCAACACAGCCGAGACAATCCCAAAAACCATGGAGCAAGTCGCATTGTTGGTAAGAACATCAAAGGCAATGGTGCCAGTCAAGCAGTAGGAGGCCGTCACGAGAATGAGCTGCAGGACAAACATAATCCCAAAAAGCTCTCGGCCAAATTTCCCCAGCATCAACGTCCCGACGTCCCCGTAGTGGTGGATGTTCGGAAGTGCGATCTTCGTTTCCCCGACAAGGTAGCTGGCATATATTGCGACGACGCCCACCCCGACACAACAAATCGTACCTGCCACCATTCCAAGGATTGCAAAAGAGGTGGGCAGCGTAAGGACTCCGAGAGCGATAGCTTCGACAACAAGCACCACAGTCAGACGTTTCCAGCCCAACCTTCGGAAGTGCGCAGCCCCTTCGGCTATCTTCTGTTTCTCGGTATCGGTGACCGCGTCGACATTTCCTTCGCCGATGCTGTTGTGAGGAGATTGGTCGGAGCTAACGACTTTCGAGATTTTATCTTCATCCCAAGCCTTATCCTCTGTGTGTTGAGGAACGTCCTCAGGCGGATCGAAACCATGTTGCACACGTTTTGGATCCTCCATGCTGGAGAAATCGAGTTGAAGAGTGCCCCAAGCCCCAGTTTTCTTGTCCACCTACTGTAGAGTCTGAGGCCTCATTGTACGATCGGTCAGGCAAAGTGAGATTAAATTGTTGAGAAAGTTGGAGGTGCCGTCAGAGAAAGAGAAATCCCCAAACCACCTGATCGCTCATTCAAGGCGTGAAGGTCTCAGAAATGTCTCACTTCCACCTGTGAGCGTAGGACGCATTGGAATATTGGGCCTTGATTCGGAAGTGCTGGAGGGCGGAGTGCAGGAGGTAATCGCCGGAAGGGTTTCGTTGACGTCGAGCATTAAGTAACCGCCGGCTTTCCACATGTAACGTCTTGCACATCGAAGCTACCTTCCTCCTTCCCCGCAAAACACAAGAGGTCCAATCATTCACCAAGGACAATCCAAGACGAGCGTGTGGCTACTGCGGATGTTTCTGGTAGGAGCGACTCTGCCTGCCCTTCAGGGCGCTCAAGCTCGATTGTCCTGGAAATGTGGCGTTCAGAATCATTCTCATTTCACGACCTGCAACGGACCTCCAGATACGCCGCATAGTCCAACAGGTCCTGCTATCGATAGGCACGACGCAGCCGGGCCAGTCGGAGCCCCCTTGCGGGGGTTGATCTTAGGACTGCATCATCGGAATCCGGGTTCTTAGGGCTGACTGTTCCCGCGCCGATATCCCTGCGGGAAACCGGAAACGATTCTGGCTGCTGCCTACGAAGTGCAGAATGCTGCTTATCGATAAGTTTCCATGTGGCAAGGGATCGTCGTGTTGCAGAAGAACCTGTACTGTACATCGTGGATTCCACTCGTGAAACAACAATCATGTGCATCGAAGTTTTTGCTTTGGCGTAGATCACCATGTTTGCTTTGAACATATGAGGATCCAGGAGATTGAGCACGTTGAGTAGCTGACTGGTAACAGAGATGCAGGAGTTTTGTGCCTTTTCTGCTCCATATGCTACCCAGTCGAGCAGTGTGTGTCGGCATCATATCTTGGAAGTTGGGGGCATTCCTGATCCATGATTTCCGTTTCCGGTCATGCCAAGCCTAAAGGGGCATTTGCATCGGCCTGGCCGCAGGCGACAATTTATGCAGGATCCTTAAGCATTTATGCTTATAGTTCTCGCTTCTTTCGAGGCACATGGCAGGGTTCTGTTCAATAATGGTCTGACATGGTTCCGCAAAGGAAGGGATCATGGTAATAACATCCAATCAAGACGGAGTAGTTGCATAAAGAAAGACAAGAGGATCACTGCGCATTCCAAAGCGAAACTGGGAGATTGGAAGACTGAGAGGAATATGACAAGATAAGAGAGGGAGAGCAACGTTGGTGTTCGCTGAAAGTGAATCGGGACTCACTATGATGGTCTTACCTAATCTCGACTCTTGTCAACCCGTCTGGCTCCCGCCTCGCTATGAGAGTATCAACAAACACAACACCACTTCAACCACCTCCTCCTCCTTGTCCGAATTTGCGATTCCTAGACTACTCTTTCAATTGAGAATCAAGAGTAATCAAGATTGGTGCCATCGCGATCGGCGTTTCAGATCGCTGGGACTCTGGATCGTGGCCTCCAATTAAGGGGCCTGGAGAGAGTGCATTTCCTCCACAGATACGGAGAACCTCCGCAAACTCTCCCATCAACCAACATGATCGAGGTGAAGTGCCGAATGGATCAACCTGTCTGACTCCTAGCAAGACGCCAAACTTCCACGCCGTTCCTGTCAGCTGCCATCGAATTCTTCCTTCCTTCCTCCCAATACTCCAAGCCTGGTTGGCGGCGGCCTACAGGCACTCGATGACATTGCCCCTGTCAATCAGTATCGCAATGGGATAATTCCAAGAACTCTGGTGCTCGGCTGGAAAACTCAGTCCCACTCCGCGCCAGCGCCGTTCGTTGTCTATTGACGATCAGCTACCCGATATGTCCAATAGGCAATAGCACGTTCCTTCGTTCGAGACCCGCTTCTTTGATGGGTGTTCGTGGCTCCATCCCGCGCCTTTTCGGCCTCTGACTGGCCCTAACCAGCCAACGTCTAGCCGACAGAACTTTCGGTCTCCATCAAAGAATGAAATCGGGTTCCTCTCACCAATTGATCCACCCAACCTCTGATAGGCTGACTGCTGTCACTAAATAAGGTAAACTTCGACTGCAAGTCTCAGGAGTGTGCTAAGAATGGAACTCTCGGCCTACTAGTCTAGTCGGGCAGTAAGGCCTGCAGGATGCAGATCTAATTTCAATGACCTCGCTGTCAAGTGGGTGAGAAATTCTAGCTTTTAGGTTATGACCGTAGGGAAGTTTAGGGCTCACAGCCGGAGAGGGATGGATTCAACGGTCTTCTTTGGCAACTGCGAATTGACAGGTATGGCTTCAGGGACTTTGACGGGTGTCCTTGACTATGTCGTCACTAATGCAAGTTCTAGATGTGTAAATCAAGATTCATGCAAATCCTACAGTATGAATGTGTCCACCAGATCTCTCTCCCGGCTGTTGGCTGGGCCCCCATCCGCCCACGCTCCATCACTGAGACCTGGACCACTTCTGCCCCTGACGTAGAACCGGAGCAAATATGAGATCTGCGAACCGGGCAGCCACCAGAGGGCAGTCCTTTATTCTTCTGTCCTCTCCTCATTTGCTTCTGTTTCTTTTCCTTGTTCCTCTTCCCGCCACCCCGTTCCGTTCTCAAGCATGATGAGCCTGCTCCCAACCCTTCAGCATGGATTAGGTACACTATAAAACGAATACCGGAACACGATAGTCGACTTGAGATTAGGCTACCAGTCTAAGTGTCATTGCTCTCGCTTCGGATGCAATCGGCTAGGATTTGAGCATATGCAGTGCCCTGAAAGAATTAACGCAGTCGGACGAAACTCTTGAGGATTGACGAAGATCGCTCTGCACAATCATGGCTTCTCTCAGACGGTTTTTCCACACCGAGAAGTCGTCGGGAACGCCCCATGATGATCGAGACAGTCGGACAAAATCTTTGGGGAGCGATCAACAATCCGCCGCATTCTCTACGACGATAACCTCACATCCCCGCGGTTCCCAGAGCGGACCCTTTGAGCCAGCTCACAACATGCGTGCACGCCCTACGACATCTTATTCTCAACCACCGTCCTCACTCCCTTCGAGTCCAAGGCCAGACAAAATTCCTCGGCATGTTGACTTGCTTGACGCACTGTTCACTTCGCATCGATATCATATACAGTGCCCTACTTCTTTATCGCCAATTACTCCTTACAATGAGGACATCGCGGAAAGGAACATGGCTTTTTTCCTCAAGGGAACGTTTCTTCCCAAGGTGGTGTATCCCCGTCCCACTTCTTTACAAGGAGATGTCGCAAGAAACGTGTTCGGAAGGAACAGCCGTTCTTTCACACGCAGTACGAGTACACGACCTCAATCAGCACAGGGGTTGCCTCCCCAGTCGACTGATCAAAACGGAAAGGATTTCACAAAAGGCCGGCCTCGCTTGCGGGCTAGGGAAGGCCGTGTAGCAACATCGACTTCCAAGTTATATGCTCGTACCGCGTCTTGCGCGCACAATGACTATCCAGAGTCGCCGACGGAAATGAGCTCTCAAAGAAGCTCTCTGCGCTCACAGAGATCAGCACCTAATCTAGTGGCCGGACGGCCCACAACTTCTGATACAGAGCCCCCGACACCCAGCAATGGCTTCCTTGGTGTGCCTCCAGCTTACAAGCAAGGCCGCAGATGGAGCACTACTCCTCTCCCAGATAGTCCCACCATCCCATTGTCAATAAGCCATGACCAGAGTCTGAGCGAGGATGAGTCAACCCATGGCACAACCGGCGTCACCCAGACTTCCAAGGATCATTCTCAGGCCGCTTCTTCTCGAATTCATTCTAAAAAGAACGTCCGCGATCTTTCCATCAATACAGAGCTTGCAGCTCGAAGAAATCCCACCTCAAGAGCAACGCACCGTGCCATCCAGCCACCGACTCCTAATACAACTGAGTCAGCACAACATATGAGTATTGCAGAGATTATGAACAGCCCCTTGCCGGTGGCTTCACCCACAGCAGTCTCGCCTTTACCTCCCGCTACTGAGAAGGTTGCGGAAATTATGGACATGTTTCGACAGGCTTATACGTCCTCGCCGGTCATGACACCTCACCCAACGTTTGAAACTCTTCAAGATGCTATCATCCGTGAAATCAATTCCCATGACGCCTTCAAACGGTTGACATTTCCCGAAACGGAAGGCTTTCTTACACCCTCTCCCTCGCAGGAGTCGTTCGATAAGGGTCTGAGCGTGCCGCTATACCCTAATACGGGATCTGAAAGAGGCCCTAATGCGAAAGAAGGTCAACTCCTCAAGTTGATCCGAAAGAGTTCCTTTAGAAAGCATAAAAGAAACTCGGAACAACGTAGGAGCATCTCGACAAGTGTACCAACGACAGCCATACCTCAAGTGTCAGAAGGGACCATTCGACGGAGGCACACCGATGCCCCGTTACCATCAGACCAAGTCTTGAGCAAAGCAGTCGCGGGTGAGGACAGCCTCGAGGAACCCGAGATGCCCATGACCTACATGGATCTGTTGCTGCGGTCTGAGGAAGCTGCATCTGACATTGCCTCGAAGAAAGCCTTTCGCTTATCTGGAAACACGACCCAGTCCACGTCCACGCAGTCCCTCTCGTGCGAGAAGGCGGATCGCTCCAGGCCGTCGCCATCCATTCTCTACATGCGCGCCCACGGCTCCGATTCCATACAGGGATCCCGATCCAGCTTTTCCGACGACGAGAGTGACGAGGAAATTATTGAACTACCAAGCCTCGAGCCTCCGGAAGTCATTATCCATGGCGTCGACTACGAACATGCGGCGGTCCCCACTGCGCAGAGCACAACTATCAAAAGCCCTTACCGGATCATGAGCTGGCCGCGCAAACCCACCGAAAATATCTTGAACGTGAACTAGCTTTCTTCTCTCTCTTCTCTCTTCAAGCGCTTCTCTTCCAGGCTCCCGAGATCCGACAACTCAAGCTGTCTGACCTACTACCCTCCATCCATTCTTGTGGAGGGCAGTCCTTCTCAAATGAGACCGTTTCATGATACCCATCTATATGCATGTCCACCAACCATTTCTTCCCTCCTTGCACGGCTTTCACCCGATTCCAATCATTCCTTCCTCAAAGAGAAACACGATTATGTCTTTCTCACGAACGAGTGCTGCACATGATCCTTTTTACTGTCCCAAAAGCTGACTTGTTGTTACGTGCTTTCTTCTGGACCATCTCTCCCTGCTACTGCAGAGGAATTGCCTCTGCTACCTACACTCATTGTATAGATGCATAATTTCCTATTATACTTTGTTATCTGTCTATTAGCGCAACCATCTATCACTGCCTGCTGTCGTCGCTCAACATCATGTCTCTCCTTCTCAATAAGAACAAAGATCAACTAAGCAGCCGAGCTCCATGCGAAGTAGTCAATAGTACTTAATAAGAACCTATAAGTCTATCACTCGGTGCCCAATTTTTCTACTTCTCAATTTACCAACAAGTGACGGCGACAAAGGCCTCATCAACTTTACTCCTCAAATTCAGATAACAGCACACTGCCCATTGAAAAGGTATCTGATGCAAGTAAAGCAAGGGATTTCTAGCAAATTCTTGATTCTTTCTTTCAAAAAGAGGAAAAAAACTCCTCATCACACGCTTTCTTTTCCTTCTCTCCCAAACCCCACCAACCCCAGGTTTTTCAGACACACAACAAAAAAAACTGTAATGGCAGGAAAGCAAAGTCATAACAGTCATAGTACGAAGATAAGAAGATGAGGATATGCACACAGAATGGAAAAATGAAACCACTCCTGATTGAAACAAAGTAGTGGTAAATAAGATGTCAGTTGCAAGTGATGTGATATTGAATAGTATGACGACGACGGAAAGCGCTTAGTACGAGCCTGGAAAGAAAATCTGGGTTAGCGAAAATGGCTCGGAGATGATGACGGTAATAAGACTTACGGCCGAACATGCACCACTTCTCGGCAGGGCGGGTACACTTGGGGTTGCAGCACTTAGTCTCGCCGGGGACGATACCCTCGGGCTGGTCGAAGGGGATACAGAGGGACTTGGCGCCCATGCTGGGAGCACGGGCGTCCTGGGCCTCGCCGGAGTCCTCCTCGGCCTTGCGGGCGCTCATGTCCTTGATCTGGTCCTCGCACTCCTCGGTCAAGCAGTGGGGGATGATACAGACGTTCTTGTCGTTGAGGGCGGGGGTGAAGTCGTCCCAGTTGGTGATGAGCTTGCGGTGGGAGCGGTACTCGTTGTCGGCGCGGTTGTACAGGTCCTTCTGGATGGTCTCGAGGAGAGCGGGGACGGCGGTCGCGAGCTCGGCGATCTGGATGGGCGCCTTGCCGTCCTTGCCGGGGATGTCACGGCGAGCGGCGGTGACGAAGCCGCCGGCCATCTCACCGGGACCGAACTCGATGCGCAGGGGCACACCGCGCAGCTCCCACTCGTTGAACTTCCAGCCCGGGGAGTAGCCCTCGCGGAGGTCGGAGATGGCGCGGACGCCGGCGTCCTGGAGGACGGAGACCAGGCGGTCGATCTCGGCGTAGAGCTTGCTGCGCTCCTCGTCCGAGGTCTTGGCAGTGATACCGACGGGGACGATGACGGTCTGGTTCTCAGCCACGCGAGGAGGGAGGACCAGACCGCGGTTGTCACTGTGTATCATCACCATGACACCCAGAGTACGGGTCGACAGACCCCAGGAGTTCTGCCAGACGTGGATGGGGGGCTTCTTCTCGTCACCCTTGGCGGAAGGATCCTCGACGGTGATGCCGAACATCTTACTGAAGTTCTGGCCCAGACCGTGGGAGGTACCACCCTGGATACCACGGCCAGTGGCGGGAATGTAGCCCTCGACGGTGGTGGTGTAGAGACCACCGGCGAACTTCTCCTTCTCGGTCTTCTGACCCTTGACGACGGGAACGGCCAAGAGCTCCTCGTAGATGCGAGCGTAGAGGTCGAGGATCTGCATAACCTCCTCATGGGCCGCATCCTGGGTCAGGTGGGCAGTGTGACCCTCCTGCCACAGGAACTCTCTGGTTCTCAGGAAGGGCTGGGGGTGCTTGAACTCCCAACGGACGACGGAGTTCCACTGGTTCAGCTTGAGAGGAAGGTCACGGTGACTTCTGATCCACTTGGCGTAGTAGGGGTACATGACGGTCTCAGAGGTGGGACGGATAGCGATCTTCTTCTCCAAGGGGGTGGAACCACTGCGGTATAGAGACGAATGAGTTAGCCATCACGCGACCAAAGATAACCAAAGATAAGGAGAGTTGCATACGCGTGGGTGACCCAGGCGACCTCGGCCGCGAAACCCTCGATGTGGTCCTTCTCCCTCTGCAAGACATCCTCAGAGACAAAGAGAGGGAAGGAGCAGTTCTTGACACCCATCTTCTTAATGTATCCGTTGAACCAGTTCTGGATCTCCTCCCAGATAGAGTACGAAGCGGGCTGGCGCAAGATCAGCACGGGTGCGAGCCAGATAAGATAACCTAGAGACCACCCACCTTGAGGATGAAGCATCCAGAGACATCGTAATAGTCGAGCATGTCACCCTTGGTCAGGACCTGCTGGTACCAGCTGGGGAAGTCCTCTTCCTTGGAGACATCGATACCGATCAGAGCGGCACCATCAATCTTCTTCTTGGGAGCCTTGGAGGCGGGCTTCTTGGCCTCCTGCTTTCCAATTCCCTTGTTGGCAGCGTTTCCAGCCTTCTTGTCGGCCTTGTCTTGAGCCAACTTGGCCAACTTGGCGGCCTTCTTTGCAGCATTCTTGGAGACCTCGCCCTGGGGAGCAGCGGCATCGGCGGGGGCCTGAGTGCGGTCGGGCAAGGTTTGAGCGGCGGGCGATTCGGCGGGAACCGCAGCGTCAGCGGGGGCTTGGCTGGACATTTTGGAGTTTGAGGAGAGGGCCTTCGGGCGGGAGAAGAAGAAGAAGAAAAAAGAAGGACCAAACTCGAAAATGCAGTCGAGGTTGACAGAAGATGGGGTCGAGCGGTAGCGCGGAGAAGGGGAAAAGGCGTTCAGGAAGAGCCCCTCTTCTGAGTCAAAGTGGGATGTCTCTTTGCGCTTTCTCACCGCTCGGGGCCCGGCAGAACTTTTAGCGCAAAGGGCCCTCTCCCCGAACAAGTCGAACGCAGCAGCAAAGCAGCCAAAAGCAAAAGCAAAAGCAGTCCTGTTAGCTGTCGGAGCTTTTCTTTCTTTCTTTTTGCACCCCTTTTCCATATCTCCTTGTCTGTTTCACAATCATGGCAGGCATCTTCGAGGCTCCGCGGAATGCGGACACCCTTTGTGAGTTTAATTTTCACATTTCCTCCGACTCCAACGTTCCCCTGGACCTCTTCAAACTGACTACGAGCTTCGCACAGTCTTGGGTGGGCAGAAAATCACCGGTGCTGATGTACGGGAGCAGAACGGTATGTGTTCGGAAGAAAGCTCAATGCTTACGGATGGATGTTGATTGAATCTCGCAGTCCTTGCTACGCAGGCGATCGCAAATGTCGTCAAGAGCTCCTTTGGCCCCTCCGGCTTGGACAAGATGATGGTGGATGACATCGGTGTATGTCTACCCTCGCAACCCCGTCTACCCAACAACAGCTTCCTGACGCTTACCTAGGATGTTACGGTGACGAACGACGGTGCGACTATCCTCAGTCTTCTCGATATTGAGCACCCCGCCGGAAAAATCCTCGTCGACTTGGCTCAACAACAGGATAAAGAGGTCGGTCCTGCCGTTCGCCTGCGTCTCGTGCAGGAGAGGGGAATCATTCACGCTGACCACTGTCTAGGTTGGTGATGGTACCACGTCGGTCGTTTTGATTGCTGCAGAGCTCCTGCGAAGAGGCAACGAATTGATGAAGAACCGCATACACCCCACGACCATTATCAACGGTTACAGACTCGCCCTGAGAGAAGCCGTCAAATATATGAATGAGAACATCACTACGAAGGTCGAGACCCTGGGCAAGGACAGCCTGGTCAACATCGCCAAGACTTCCATGTCCAGCAAGATCATCGGCGCAGATAGCGACTTCTTTGCCAACATGGTCGTTGACGCCATGCTGGCGGTCAAGACCATTAACCAGAGAAACGAGGTCAAGTACCCCGTCAAGGCAGTTAACCTGCTGAAGGCACACGGAAAGAGCAGCAAGGAGTCGGTCCTGGTCAACGGCTACGCCCTCAACTGCACTGTCGCCTCCCAAGCCATGAAGACTCGGATAACCGATGCGAAGATTGCCTGCTTGGACATGAACTTGCAGAAGGAGAGGATGAAGCTTGGTGTTCAGATCACAGTCGATGATCCCGATCAGCTGGAGAAGATCCGCGAGAGAGAAGCCGGCATCGTCCTGGAGCGTGTCGAGATGATCCTCAAGTCCGGAGCTAATGTTGTCCTCACCACCAAGGGTATTGACGACATGGTGCTCAAGCTTTTCGTGGAGAGAGGTGCCATGGCTGTCCGCCGTTGCAAGAAGGAGGATCTTCGCCGGATCGCCAAGGCCACCGGTGCCACCTTGGTGAGCAGCCTGTCAGACTTGAACGGTGATGAGAAGTTCGAGGCCTCGAACCTGGGTCACGCAGAGGAGGTTGTGCAGGAGCGGATATCCGATGATGAGTGCATCCTTGTCAAGGGCACCAAGGTACACACCTCGGCGTCGATCATCCTGCGGGGCCCCAACGACTTCACTCTGGATGAGATGGAGCGTTCAGTGCACGACTCCCTCTGCGCCGTGAAGCGGACGTTGGAGAGCGGCAGCATTGTCCCCGGTGGTGGTGCCGTCGAGACGGCTCTTCACATTTACCTCGAAGAGTTCGCTGTCACAGTTGTATGTTGCCCACCACTCCAAACTTTCACACATGTGCCATATCAAGAAACTAATCATATCCTCTACAGGGCTCTCGCGAGCAACTCGCCATCGGTGAATTCGCCCAGTCCCTCCTGACTGTCCCCAAGACCCTGGCCGTCAACGCCGCTAAGGACTCGTCCGAGCTTGTCGCCCAGCTCCGTGTCCGACATGCTCTGTCGCAGCGTGTGCAGGACGGCGATGCCAACGAGGAGGAGAAGGCTATCGCCAAGAAGAAGACCTACCGCAACTATGGTCTCGACCTGACCAAGGGTCGTGTTCACGACACCCTCAAGGCCGGTGTCCTCGAGCCTAGCATGGGTAAGATCAAGCAGCTGAAGAGTGCCGTCGAGGCTTGCATTGCCATTATGCGTATCGATACCATGATCAAGTTGGACCCGGAGAGGAAGGAGGATGATGGACACGGTCACTAAATCAAGCTTGGTGGTGTCCTGCTTGCTTTGGTCAACCCCCTCTCTACCCCAATTCCATCTTTTCCCTGTTTCTTCATGTGGAGTTCTTAGATATTTAGGATGAAGGAAGAGGAAAAGTATAATCAAGATATGAAGTATATTATTGTATCGCCTGAACTCCTTTGCGTAAAATTACCTGCTCTGGGGACTTCTATTGTTCGAACTCCTCGAGTAAGACTGGTGTGGCGCGCAGTGCTGAATTCCTCTTGTTGATACCTTCTTTATTGTAGTAGGCAGAAAATTACAGGATCTGTAAGGTTGGCTTTGATATTCGATAGCTTCACTATCGCCGGTAGATTGCAACTACCGCCCCCTCGACTATCCGAGCAGAACTCCCTGCTCCCTGCTTTGCAACAACAGGCTTCCATGAACAAACCATGATAACAAGCTTTCTAAGAACAAGAAGAGAACAGACAAAACATAAACAAAACACCCGCTAAAAAGAACATAGACATGGATATAGGCCGAAACACCACAAAATGCACACCCCGAGAGCTGGAGAAAAAGTTGAAAAGCAAGAACAGCGCTGAAAGAAATGAGACAGAACAACAGAGGAACAGGGAGAATCATTCATCTTCGTCGTCATACGAGTCCTGCGTTTGCGCCCACCCGCAGCGCCAGCGTTTACCCTCAGTCTCACCACTTGTGCGTAGATCCCGAGCCTCAGGGCCCTCCCGCCAGCATCGAGCACTGTAATCATCGCTGACCGTGACGAGTTCGCCGTCGACGGTCCAGGATACGGCGGAGACTTCTTTGGAGTGGCCTTCGATTAGGGGAGTGCCGGATTGATAGATAGGAACGGTGTCCTCTAATCGGCCGGACAGGCCGACCCCTGAGTTGGTGCGGCGAAGGAGGCCCGATCGAGTGGAGAATGGAGTGGCGGGAAGTGAGTCCGTTTCTGGAGGGGTGGAGCTGGCGGGTGAATTCGAGAGGAATCTCTCGTCTGTGGGGAAGAGAATGGCGCAGCGATCACTGCTTCCAACCGCTAGCATTTCGGGTTTGTCGCCGGCTGCTTTGCGCACTCCGACTTTGACGTAAAACGAGGACACCTGCAGACGAGGGTGGCGGAAGCCATATAGAGGGCCGAGGCCTTCCTTGTCGGAGCCGCCTGAGCGGCGTGGGCGGTTGTTGTTGAGGGATAGCTCGGGGGCATTGCCGAGGATTAGGTGAGATGTGGAATATGTATAGACGGTGCCGTCGCGGCATAGTGTGTAAAGTCGAGAGCCGTCCCCGCCTAGTGTGATCGAGGTAAGACCAAAGCGTCTGTACTTGGCGTGGCTTTCGGGTTCCCGGGTCGTGGAGAGGGGGAGAACAGGTCGGTTACGCCGATTGTGATGTGTCGTGCGTAGATCCCAGAGTCGCACGCAGGCGTTGGCCTCGGAAGCAGTGACAAACAGGTTTTCGCGGCCTGGGGGGAGGAAGGCTAGCGAAGTCACAGTGATGTCGGAGCGGCGGATTTGGGGTTCCAAGCCGGGGACGGCAGCGGTTTGTGGCATCCATGCATGCGCGCCATGGATGGTGTTCATGACCTGAGGAAACGTGGTTTTGGAGGAGATGGGTGAAGTGGATGGTTCTGACTCGTATTCAAGCGAGCACTGTACTTGTAAGCAAGGCTTGTCAAACCCTTTGCATCGGAGATCCCAAATGTTAACATTGCCGTCTCTACTGCAAGTTGCCAGAACCTTGTTGTTGGCCGCCGGTTGAAATTGGACTCGCTTGACGGAAGAGACGTGATTCGAGAGACAGTAGATCGGCGTTTGGGTGGTCATGTCGATGACTAGCGCAGTCTGGTCGCCCGAAGCCGTTGCGAGCAGTAAATCATCGGATGAGAACTCCAAATCCATAATCGAATTCATATGCGGACGGAAGGTAAGGTACGCTTGCGAGAATCCGTTCTTATCGCCTTTGGCAGAATCCAGCAATCTGATCCCACCCTCCTCGTCACCCACAGCAACAAGACTATTTGCTGCAAATCAGTCAGTAAACATAGCTCGATACTTATGCACATCCGGGTGACCTTACTGTTGCATGTCGCCGTGCAGAACGGAAGAACATAGCGATCGCCAGCAACACTAGCGCAATTGTGGCTGTCACTTGAGCGAGAGTAGAAATCTGAGGTCAAATCCTGCCAGCCTTGAAGAGAGTTAGAATAAGCGCCCAGTATGTGATAGCGAGGGTACCCTACCAGCTCCGGAGTTTGCTCGCATCGTAACTCGATTTGCGCGGTTCCCCAAAATACTTCGCATGTATAGCGCCCCGGATGTTTGCAAAGCCTGTGAGCGACGAACCGGAGGAACTTGTCGAGGGGGTTTAGAGGCGAAGGTGGTGAGCTTGGGCTCATGCTCCGGTATGCTGCTCACATTCAACTCGAATTTCCGGACTGGGGCGGCTAGCTCTTGGTCATATTTGACCGACTCCCTGACATGGACTTCTTTAAGAGGTGAGGACTGAAGAGGCGAGCCAATGGATGAAAAGGAGAGCTTCCGTCTCTTGCTGGGGGTCCGTATGAGTTCGGGGGATTCGGATCTGTGTTCAATAGCCTTCAAAGTCTTCGTAAAGGCTGGACCCAGGCGGTTGACAGCGGGCGAGCTAAGTGTTTTGAGTGCCTGACGGTTGGTCCTGACTGCGCTAGCATTGTTGTTATTGCCGCTACCTAGCATAGATCTAGGCGTGAAAAACCTCTTGAATGAGCGTGGAGTGACAGGAGGAGGCTTCCTGGGCTTGCGTCGGAAGCCAACATCGGAGGCAATTGAGGGTGGGGAGGAAGGAATATCCTGTGATGAGGGGGGGAAATAAGGCTCCGATCGAGGTACTTCGGGGAGATCATGATAGCCGTCCATTGTGTCCCGTAGACTGACCAAAGCACACGGACATTCTATGCGATGAACCAGTAAAAGAAAGTGCTTATTGACCCAGGTGGCAGAGAATGAAAGAATGAGAGGAAGAGAGCATTCGGAGGAGGAGGTGGAGCAGGGTTCAGTCGAGAATTGGATGGAATGAAGGAAGGCCCAGCAATGATGATTCCACTTTGGTTTAGTTTGGTCCTTTTTCTGCCCGGCGCGGAAAAGTCTCGTGTCGACGTGCCTCTTTCGTGACGCGCATTTCCCAATACCGCAGGCGGTGAATATCCCCAATTTAGGTGGGAGGACTGCCCCAATGCGGCAGGCGGTCTCTCCGTCCATCGGCTTTTCCGTCTAAATTTTTTAATTTTTCGTCTCGAAGTCCGCCGGTCAAACTACTTGGACTGGGAGCTTTGGAGCAGCTCGTCTAGTCTTTTTTTTCAATTCATTCACTATGGCTCCCATCAAGCGCAAGGGTAATGCCGCAGAGGAGGTATCTGCCCGCCAACCTCAGAAGCGCGTAAGAGTTGGCGCAGACGATCGCAAGTCAGAAAAGAAACAGAAGAATGCCTCTGACGACAGTAAGCCCAAGTCGGATGCGCCGAAGGCTTCCGAGCTTTCAGTGCTGCGCGACGACGAGCCGTCTTTCCCACGTGGTGGTGGAAGCGTTTTGACGCCTCTCGAACGGAAGCAGATTCAAATTCAAGCCACGAAAGACGTCCTATTCGAACAAAAAGGTGCTAAGCCCTCTTCCAGCAAATTCGAGGGTGGAGAATTCGAGGAGGATACAGATATGGAAGACGCTGGCGAGACCGCTGCGACGGCTGGTCAGGCTTCCCGCAAGAAGAAGGTTAAGGGAAAAAAGCAAACGGAGAAGGATGCGCAAGAGAAGGGCATTCGGATTGAGGGTCTTAATTTCAAGGTAAGCAAGTCTGGTCGTCAGTCTGAGAATTCTGTGCGCTTACAAAAATCAGCGACTTGTTCCCGGCAGCATGGTCCTCGGCCAAGTTTCAAGTATCAGCGCTCACAACATCGGACTGTCCTTGCCCAACAACCTTACCGGTTATGTGCCCCTAACCTCCGTGTCGCGACTACTGGAGGAGAAGATTGAGAAACTCCTCAAGGAGGACGGCAGCGACGACGAGGATGGCGAAGATGAGGAAGAAGACTCCCTGGATCTCCACAATTACTTCTACCTGGGACAATATATGCGGGCAAACGTTGTCTCCGTTGGAAGTAATGCGGCTGACGCCAATCCCAAGACCCGGCGCCGCATTGAGCTTTCCGTCGACCCCCGACAGGCCAACTCCGGCCTTTCGAAGTCAGACCTCATTATGAACGCTGCAGTTCAAGCTTCGGTTGTCAGCGTGGAGGATCACGGTTTGGTTATGGACCTGGGTATTGAAGGTGCTGAGGTCAAGGGATTCATGTCATCGAAGGAAATCGACCCCAAGACGGACTCTTCGACCATCAAGGAAGGTTCCGTGTTTCTGTGTATGGTGACTGGTCAGAATGCCAACGGTAGTGTCATCAAACTCTCGGCAAACCTTCAGTCCGCTGGGTCCATCAAGAAGTCGCACTATCTCAGCAATGCCCCTACGATCAGCTCTTTCCTCCCCGGTACCGCAGCGGAGATCCTGTTGACGGAGGTGACATCGACTGGAATGGTTGGAAAGATTATGGGCATGTTGGATGCCACCGTGGACTTTGTTCAATCTGGGGCCAATACAGGAAAGGAGGACCTGGTCAAGAAGTACCAAACGGGTGCGAAGATCAAGGCTCGCTTGGTCTGTACTTTCCCCGCCTCTGAGCCTTTCAAGGTCGGATTCACATTGCTCGACCATGTCGCCAAATTCGCGTCCGACAGCCATGGACCGGGCTCCTCCAACGATGCACCTGCTATCTCTGCCATTTTGCCCGAGGCTAAAGTCATTCAAGTCGACCCTGGAATGGGTGTCTACGTCCAAATCGGATCTACGAAGCACATTGGTTTCGTCCACGTCTCGAGATTGGCCGATGGCCAAGTGGAAAATATTTCGGCTGAGCATGGCCCCTTCAGCTTGAACACCGTACACGAAGCCAGAGTTGTTGGCTACAGCCACATCGACAACCTCTACCTGCTGTCTTTCGAGAGGAAGATTATCGATCAGCCATTCCTCCGCCTCGAGGATGTGACAGTGGGAGCGGTTGTCAAAGGAACGATTGAGAAGCTTTTGATTGGAGCAAACGGCCTTGATGGTCTTATCGTCGTCCTGGCTGACGGGATCACCGGTCTTGTGCCTTCCATGCACTTTGCTGATACTCTTCTTCAATTTCCTGAGAAGAAGTTCCGTGAGGGTATGACGGTCTCGGCCAGGATTCTCTCGGTCAACCTGGAGAAGCGCCAGATTCGTCTGACTCTGAAGAAGAGTCTCCTGAACAGCGAGTCCGCTATCTGGAAGGACTACAAAGACATTACCCCTGGATCGCAGTCTCCAGGTACTATTGTCAGCATCAAGTCTCATGGTGCAGTGGTTCAGTTCTATGGTACCATCCGCGGTTTCCTTCCTGTCTCGGAGATGAGTGAGGCTTACATCAGAGATCCGTCGCAGCACTTCAGACAAGGTCAGGTTGTCAACGTGCATGCACTCAGTGTGGACGCCTCGCTTGAGAAACTCGTGGTGTCTTGCAAAGATCCTTCGACTTTCACCGAAACCTACAAGGAGGCCTTCGAGAAGATCCACCCTGGCTTGCTCGTTTCGGGTACCGTGTTCGAGAAGTCCAGCGATGATATGCTCCTCAAACTGGACGAGTACGGCCTTGTGGCTAGACTTAACCTTGAACATGTTATCGACGGTTCTCCCTCGAAGCAGGCTTCGACTCTTTCGAAGATCCGCGTCGGTCAAAAGCTTAACGAGCTCCTTGTTCTCGACATCCAACGGGCCCATAGGCTCATCAAGGTTTCCGGCAGACAATCCCTCAAGAAAGCTGTCAAGCAAGGTTCCATGCCTGGTTCCTTTGAAGATCTCAAGGAGGGCGCTGAGGTCACTGGCTTTGTCCGCAACATCGCCCAGACTGGTTTGTTCGTCGAGTTCATGGGTGGTCTGATTGGTCTCGTTCCCAAGCGTCTCATCGCCGATGAGAACGTGAACAAGCCCAGCTACGATATGGTTAGGTCACAAGTTGTCACTGCGACGGTCCACTCGCTCGACGCTGATTTCAAGCGATTCATCTTGAGCATGAAGCCCTCTGAAGCTACCCGCGCTGGCGCTAAGAAGCCCGCCGCCAAGCCCGCTCCTACCAACGATGCAGTTACCAATGCTATCGATGAGAGCATCACCTCGATGTCTGACTTCACCTTCGGAAGAATCGTCAAGTGCAAGGTCGTTTCCGTCCGCGCAACTCAAGTCAACGTTCAGCTCGCCGATAACATTCAGGGTCGGATTGACGTTTCTGAAGTATTCGACAAGTGGGAGGATATCAACGACCGCAAACAGCCTCTTCGTTCCTTCCGACCTAAGCAGGAGATTGAGGCCAGGATCTTGGGAGTCCACGATGCTCGCAATCACAAATTCCTTCCCATCAGCCACCGTACCGGAAAGTTCCCCGTCTTCGAACTTTCCATCAAGCCAAGCTTCTTGAAGGCCAGCAACCCCACCCCGCTCAACTTGGAGCAGGTCCAGAATGGCTCGTCTTGGGTGGGCTTTGTCAACAACGTCGCGGACAACTGCCTTTGGATCAACCTGTCTCCCAATGTCCGTGGAAGACTGCGCCTCATGGATGCTTCGGATGATCTCTCCCTTCTGGCTGACGTTGACAAGCATTATCCTATTGGCTCTGCCGTCAAGGTGCATGTCACGGCAGTCGACGCTGAGAAGGGTCGTCTTGACCTGTCTGCTAGACAGCGTTCTGATAAGCTCTCATTCGATGACATTTCGACTGGTATGATTCTGCCCGGTAGGGTCACCAAAGTGACCGAGAGACAGGTCATCCTGCAACTCAGCGACTCGATCGTCGGTGCGGTTGATTTGATTGACATGGCAGATGACTACACGAAGGCCAACCCTACCGTCTACCAGAAGAACGAGGTTCTGCGTGCCTATGTCGTGAGCGTCGATAAGGCCAAGAAGAAGATTTCCCTTTCAACGCGCCCATCGAAGGTTCTCAGCTCGGGTCTACCCGTGCAGGACAAGGAGATCACTTCCATCAAAGACCTCGCCGTCAACGATGTGGTCCGTGGCTTCATCCGCAGAGTCGCCGATAACGGTCTCTTCGTGACTGTTGGCCATGGTGTCACTGCCTACGTCCGTGTCTCTGACCTCTCGGACTCCTATCTCAAGGAGTGGAAGGATTCCTTCCAGAACGATCAACTGGTCAAGGGTCGTGTTACTGTGGCCGATGCCGAGCAAGGCAAGCTGCAGATGAGCTTGAAAGAGTCGGTCTTGGATCCCAACTACAAGGCCCCGCTCACCCTCCACGACCTTAAGCCTGGTCAGGTCGTCACCGGAAAGATCCGCAAGGTGCAAGATTTCGGTGCTTTCATCGTCATTGACGGCTCCGCCAACATTAGTGGTCTTTGCCACCGCAGTGAAATGGCCGATAAGCGTGTTGATGATGCTCGCACTCTCTACGAGGAGGGTGACGCTGTCAAGGCGGTCATCTTGAAGATTGACCGTAAGCAAGAAAAGGTCTCTTTCAGCCTTAAGGCTTCATACTTCAACGACGAGGATGAAGATGAAGATGAAGACAGCGAAGAGGACGGCGACGAGTCGGAAGGCGTCAGCCTCGATGGCTTCGGTGGAGTTGATGTCGAGGACAGTGATGAGGACAGCGATGTGTCCATGGGTGGAGTTGATGTCGACGATGATGAGGACAGTGGAAGCGAGAGCGAGGATGAGTCCATGGATGAAGCACCTTCCGCTCAACAAGGAGGACTCGGTGCAAACGCCTTCGACTGGAACGGCAACTCCAAGGACACGGAGGAAGCGGTGGAGTCCGATTCCGACTCAGATGCTGAGTCTCGCCCTAAGAAGAAGAAGAACCGCAAGCCTGAGATTCAAGTTGACCGAACCGGCGATTTGGATGCCAATGGACCTCAGTCTGTGGCCGACTACGAGCGATTGCTCCTTGGTGAGCCTGATTCTTCGGTTCTTTGGCTGCAGTACATGGCCTTCCAATTGGAGTTGGGTGAGGTAGAGAAGGCCAAGGAGATCGCCGAGCGTGCCCTCCGCACCATCACCATTGGACAAGATGCCGAGAAGTTGAACATCTGGGTTGCAATGCTGAACTTGGAGAACACCTACGGCACTGAGGACTCCTTGGAGGAGGTCTTCAAGCGCGCCTGTCAATACAACGACACTCAGGAGGTCTATGAACGGTTGATCAGCATCTACATCCAGTCCGGGAAGAACGAGGTTAGTATATATATCCTTCGAAGATGATCTTGGTTTGCCACATTTTGCTAATGACCCCCGATTTACAGAAAGCGGACGAGCTCTTCCAGACTGCCCTCAAGAAGAAGGTCTTCGCGTCCTCGAAGTTCTATGTCAACTACGCCAGCTTCCTGTTCGACACCATGGCTGATCCCGAGCGTGGCCGCGCCCTGCTTCCCCGCGCCCTGCAGTCACTGCCCTCCACCACCCACGTGGAGACGACCTCCAAGTTCGCGCAGATCGAGTTCCGGTCCGAGAACGGCGACGTCGAGCGCGGACGCACCGTGTTCGAGGGCCTTCTGTCTTCGTTCCCCAAGCGCGTCGACTTGTGGAACATCCTTCTGGATCTGGAGATCAAGAACGGCGACGCTGAGCAGGTGCGCCGCTTGTTCGAGCGGGTGCTCGGCATCCGGGATAACAAGAAGGGCGGCCCGGCCATCGAGGCTAGCAAGAAGGTTCGCCCGAAGCAGGCGCGCTTTTTCTTCAAGAAGTGGCTGGCGTTTGAGGAGAAGCTTGGTAACGACAAGATGGTCGAAGATGTCAAGGCCAAGGCCGCGGAGTACATCAAGGCCGTGCAGCAGGAGTAAAGCCAGTACTAGGTACAGCACATGTAAGGCGGGTATTATCCAGGGGTTACGGGACATTAAGGAATTCTTTTGTATATACATAAAAAGCCATTTTTTGCAATAAGGATATTGTCTTTTCACTCCTCACACGCCGACCAAAATTCCGCTCCCAAGTAGAAAATGGTAGTAATTCCAAGCCGATCACTCAGGCTGCCTTCCTCTTCTCGGCCATCAACCGTCTATATTCCTCGACGATATTGCGTCTCTCCGTCGCCAACTCCTCACGGCGCCTCAGACTGCCCACCGCCGCCGGCACGTTGGCGACATCCACCCGGGCACCGCCGCGGATCTTGAAGACCTCCCTGGGCTTGGTCAGCTGCGGCGGCGCCTGCACGACATCCAGGGGATTGAGCGGTTTATTCACGCGCTCGCGCTTGTTCAACTTGGCCCACGGATCCGGATCATCATCGACCGTATCTGCCGTGCCATCCTTCCGCTTCTTATTCCCGGACCCCTTCTTCTTGGCCTTGCGCTTGCCGGCCTCGGCCTCCCACGTCTTCCACAGCTGCAACTGCTCGTCCATCTCCTCCTCGCGCTCCTCGCGCTGCGCCCGCTCCTTCTCCACAATCTCCGCCTCCTCCTTCCGCCACATGGCCTGCAGCCGCAGCAGATGCTTCTCATGCTTCGTGACCTTATGCTCGCGGATATTCGCCAGCTCCGCCGCCGCGGGCTTATTCGAGCGCTTCATCGCAGACAGCGGCATCTCCCGGTTCACACGCGCCGCGAAATCCGACAACTTCTCCCCCGGCATAATCTTCGGTGCTGCTACCACCATCGCATCCGTCGACCCAGCTTCCGGCGCTGTTGCCGTTGCCGTTGCCGTGGCCATCTTCTTCTTATTTTTCTGGGCGTTACCACCGGCATCCCCCTCGCCGCGCTTCCGCTTCTTATTACTCTTGCTAGTCGGAACAACGTCCTCCCCGTCGTCGTCATCATCATCATCATCACTATCCCCATGATTATTATTCCTCTTGGCGGCAGCAGCAGCCGCCGCCTGTGATTGCTGCCGCTGCATTAAGCGCCGGAACGCGCGCGGGGTGTCATCGTCATCGAAGGCGGATTTGGCGCGGGAGGTGGCCGCCAGCGCCGCGGCGGCGTTTTTGGGAGTCGGCTTGGTGGCCTTCTGGGGCTGCTCTTTGCGCGGGGCACCGCCGGGTTTCTTGCGGTTGTGGTTCTTGGGTCCCCCGGTTTTGGCGGTTTTGGTGGTAGCGCTGGCCGGGTCGCGGACGGGGAGGGATTTGGCGATTCGCGTGGGGGGGAGGTCGTATGTGCTGTTTTTGACGGCGTTAGTCCTGGGGTTGGGGGGTTGTGGTTGTTGTTGTTGTTGTGATTTGGGGTGGGTGGGAGCTTATTGGTGAGGACTTACTCGGCGTCTTTTTGTCTGCGTTTGTGTTTGTGAGGCATTTTGATGTGTGGTTGATCTAATCCGAGGGGATTGGTTTGGTGGTGGTTGGTTGTTGGTGGTGGAGAGAGGAATCGGAGTCGGATCGGGGAAATGAGATGGGACGAAACTTTTTTTTACCTTTGCGGGCGGAGGAGGAGGAGCGCGGCGTATCTTATCGCCGTGGGAGATGATAAGAGATCATCATCCACTTGTTGTACTTGCTAGGTGTTGTTACATCTCTAGAGTATCGTCTGGTTTCAGTTGGATAAGATCATTTGTTTAAAGGATTTGTATCTAAGAGTTTCAGCTACATACTGAGCATCTGAGGCAGGATAAAGCGATAACTATGGTTGTAGACTCTGTGTTCTGGTATTGTGCTTGGAACGGCCTCATGCTTGCCGAATGCGGTAAACACTTAGCCTGCGGATTAGACCAACCCACCTATTCATTTTCTTCTGTATTACAGTCCATCTCAATGAAGTGAGCTATGGAAAGGTGTCTAAAGTTCATCTTTCTCTCCAAGTAGCGACACTCGGCTTGACTTGCCTCGTCCGACAAGTATCCCGGTCCAGATTTCTGGAGATGCAACGCTCCCAGGCTCCCCAATTCAAGCTCATGCTGTTGCCTAAGCAGTCCTACCCACAATTGCATGTTCGCAGAGCATCTCACAAAAGATCGGCTCCGACAAGACGACACTAGCAATTTCCAAAACCCCAAACCCCCCATGACGGGGGACAATCCCCAGCCCTGCTGAGTCTTAGCCGGCTTCTCCTCAAATCGGAATGTCCGAGATGAATGACATCTGGATGTAAACCCTTGCAAAGAAAGGCTTGTTGGTTGTTTTCCTCGTAGGGTTGGGAGATTCATGCAAGGGCGGGGGAGGGTATGCCCTCCAACTCCATCGGGGCGAGTCTCGGACATTTTCCCATCCTCGTTCTCGTTCTCTGTCCAGTGCCACGATGCCGTCGGGAGACCGGGATGACTTACTGGTCTTACTGGTAAACACAAACCCCTCAATGCGCCCCCACAATTGATGAATGGAAAGGTGGATAGGCAGCAGCACTCTGCTACTATCCTGAGGGCAAAATAAGGGTATCGTTAGCGTCCCTGGAACCCTGGTGGTGGTGGTGGTGCTGGTGGTGTACCACGCCCGTATACGGAGAGCATTGAACTACTTTAGCGGGAGGGCACTTGCTGAGAGTAACTCAACTATATGAATGTCGCCATCCTCAGGGCCCATGCAGTGATTGGCAGGAAAACTAAGAGAAAGGTTATTTAGTGTAAGCACTGAGATTCACTACCGCTGACGGGCTGAGACTTGACAAGTTGAAGTCCACCGTCCAGTAGCCCTAAATCCCCGATCGAGGCAAAGTCGGGATTCCAGACTCTTTAAGGCCGTCCCTGAGTGTGTTCATGTGATGGCCCTTCTTTTCCTAGCGTCCTTTTTGCGCAGGTAACTGCTTTTGGCTCGGGGGCTTTTTTTTCTTTTCTGTGTATGAATTTTGGGGTTTATTGCCCGAGGGGTTGGAGAGTGAGTGTGAATGGTCGGTGAGTGGTGAGTGGTAGGTTGGAGAAGATCATGCAGCGCGGAGAGAGAAAGAGAGGCCGGGGGCGTGTGTCTCAGGGTTCAACCTTTGCTGATTTTTTGGTTCTTTTTTTTTGGACTTTTTGGTTTTTCTTTATGGTTCAATATAGGCAGCAGAATTGCACGAGGATGAGAAAGACCATGCTGTTGTCTAGTGGAGAGGACTGGCACAACATGAAGATACTCACCCATGTACAGTACTCGAATAGTTTACACGCTGGATCCAATCAATCGGACCACCTCCTTCAGGGTCTGGGTCCGATTAGCGGAGTTCTTTTTACAGTTCCAGTTTACCGGACTGTGCATGTCCAGTAAATCAGAGTTTGGCCTCCTCCTCCTCCTCCTCCTCCTCCTCCTCCTCCTCCAATGACAACCTCACTCCCAGCACATGGGCTGTCCGATTTAGCCGTGAAGACGCAGAACGCCTTTCTTTAAATTGAAGAGAACAGGATAACTAAACCTCATGATCTGCTCTTGTTGCATCTCTGCTGCTTGTGGGTGTAGAGAAGGGTATGATGAGGCGTGAATGACTCGGACTGGCTGACTGTCTGACTGACTCTTGCTCACTGCATTGCATAACTACTTTCACTTGCAGTCTTGACTTTCAACCTTGAACTCTTCTACTCCCTCCTTCCCTGCCCACCACAACTACACTTCTTTTCCTACAACACAACCACCATCACCACCTTCCTGTCTACAGGACAGGGAGGCAGGCTAGCAAGAGATACAACTCCTTGCGATTTACTCTTGTATCTCTACACCTCTACTGTTACTTGGCTGATCTGCCCTCGCCTTCCCCGCATTCTTTCTGTTCCTCACCATCACCACCTCCGATGTTGACCCCCGCCGAGCGCTACCAGCAGATGGACCACCATCCTTGGGTGAGCGATTTCCACACGGACACCAAGAGCTCCAGCATCGCAATCAGCGAATTCGATCCCGAGGCCGACCCTGAGCGATCCCAGGGATTCCGTCGCAAAGACCACCATCCACCGTCTTTGTGGATGCGGGGACTGGGTCTTATCGCCGGCTTGATTGTTGCACCTCGCGATAAACGGGCCGAGGCAGCTCGTCCTCTGCTTGGCTCGTCCTCCTCCGCCTCTTCTTCCTCCGCCACTCTTTATCACAATTCATCCGTGCGACAATTCCCCAAGCCCAGATTGCTGCTTCGCTGTCTGCTTTACCCGATCGCCGGTTTCTTGATCATGCTGTAAGCCAATTCCTCACTCCAAATGCGAACGAACACCTGAACTCATTCACCGCCAAACAGAGGCATTGTGCAATTTATCTCCATCGCCTGCGGCATAGTTATCGCATTTTTCCCCAGCGAACTCGACCGTGCAACCGAGCGGTGGCAATCGCACAGCACAACCCAGTCCATCGACCTGTCCCACTGGCCCACCGATGCCTCCCGTGACATCATCCCCGTGGCCTGCCACTCGCACAACGACTACTGGCGTCCCGTGCCGTTATTCTCCGCCATCCAGGCCGGCTGCATCGGCGTCGAGGCCGATGTCTGGCTGTTCGACGAGGAGCTCTACGTGGGCCACACCACCTCAGCGCTGACTCCCAAGCGCACCCTGCGCAGTCTGTACATCGACCCCCTGCTCCGGGTCCTCGAACAGCAGAACCCGCTCACCGAGTTCCACCCCCACCGCCAACGCCCCCTCCAGGGCGTCTTCGACACCGACCCCGCCCAGACCCTGGTGCTGCTGATCGACATCAAGACCGACGGCCAGGACACCTGGAACCAAGTCGCCGCCCAGCTGAATCCGCTGCGTGAGCGCGGCTACCTCACCTACTTCAACGGCACCGCCCTCATCCCCGGCCCGCTCACCGTCGTCGGCACGGGCAACACCCCCTTCAGTCTCGTCACCGCCAATACCACCTACCGGGACATCTTCTTCGATGCGCCGCTCAACCTACTCACCGAGAACGCAGCGGAGGGAGCCACGGACGCCGCTTCGCCAAGTGAGCAACAATCGCACGACCAGCTCCCTCAAGACCTGGCCGCCGCCCCCGCGATCACCGTCCGCGATGACGAAACCGACAACCCGACCACGCCGGCGGAGAATGTCGGTCAGGGCCTCTCAGGCGTCACGCCGCAGTCCGAGTCCTTCGACTGGACCAACAGCTACTACGCCTCGGTCTCCTTCAAGAAGTCCATCGGCTCCCCGCGCGCCTTCCGGCTCTCGGATCAGCAGATCGACCGCATCCGGGCGCAGATCCGCGCCGCTCACCGCCGCGGCCTCAGGGTCCGGTACTGGGGCCTGCCGAGCTGGCCGCGCAGCCTCCGCAACCATCTCTGGGCCGTCCTGGTGCAGGAGGGCGTCGATATCCTGAATGTCGATGATCTGCAGAGCGCGACCCGGCAGGATTGGAGGCCCAAGTTGTCCGATCTGTGGAGCTAGTTAGTAGTCACATACTAGGTAAACTTTTCTGTTTCCTTTGGAGATGCAAGGGAAGGGTCTGAGCTATGTGAAGATGAAATTCGATAGAAGGCGTTTTTTTTAGGGGGGGTTATTTTTTCTCGCGGCTTGGCGTGGCTTTCTTATGATGAGATTTCTTATGGTGATACCCTTTATCTTTTTGGCGATGGGCCCATTGATTGTTTGTCTTGGGTTCTTTTACGTTGCGCTTTGTTTTATGACTACGAGATGCTACGCTGGTCTTGATATGGATTGCTTCTTGACAGGCTCGGATTTACCGCGACGCTATTGTTCATGCGTGGGCGGAGGCATGTTGGTTTTTCGTTCTAGACTAGGTTGCTTTTGTGCTTCTTTTTGACCTCCTAGAAAGACAGAGACAAGAGAGAACAGAATCTTCGATAGAGGTATCAGTCTTCAGCTTTTGGCAAACCAAATTCCTTGCTTGAAATTGTGCTAGCTATGGAGAAACCTGGGTGACAGGTAACAATTTGGGTATCATTTGACCAGCTCGTGGGTCATGGGGTAAACAAACACAAAGAAAAACGCTTTTTTTTCTGGGAGGCTGGAACACACAAAAAATGCTCACAAGCAGAATAATGCCTCCTCGCCAAACTCCGTGTAGACCGTGCCTTCCTCCCTGAGGATTGCACCTAACCAGTCCTTGGCCGCGGCGAAGTCCGGCGCGCCGAACTTCACTAGCACGAACCCGGCGCGGACCCGAGCCGCTGTGAAGGTCACCTGGGAGTCAAAGTTGGGGGCGGGCTCTGTCGCGGCCGAGCCACTGCACACAGTTGGGGAGGACCAATTGCGGGCCCCAATGCGCGGCAGGGAGGTGAACCGGTTCATGAAGAAATTGGCCAGGTTCTCGAATACGGGACCGTAGAGGATCAATGTCCCCACAACACCGTGCGGATACGTTCGTTCCCGGATCAGATTCGACTGCGCCAGGAGCTCGGGGTCTTGAGCCAGCTGATCCTCGTCGAGTTCGCGGTCCAGGATGAGCGAGTCGCGAAGGAGAAGCTTCTTCTTGCCCGACTCGTCAGTCGTCCAGACCTCGTTCTTGCCGCGCCAAAGATGAAAATCCCAGTTCTCTCCGCGCGAGGCACGGCCCTGCGTCACCCAGTCCAGAATACACAGGCTACTGCGGTGAGGGTCTTTGCTGGAGGTGGGGCCATCGATGGTGAATGTTTGCACCTGCTCGTAACGGCTGTCCTTGTAGGGCACGGCGGGGTCTGGGAGGTAACAGAGGGCGGCCTCTTGGCCAACGTGAACGGTGAGGTGTTGACTGCTCTTGTCGGAAAGAATGTGTTTGGGAGTGCCGCGTTGGCCCTTGACGCTGGCGTTGGGCTCGGTCTTGAAAATCTTGGTGCTCCCTTGCGGGGTGGTCACCACCATTCGGGTCCGCGGATCGAGCGTAATCGAGACATTGATCTTGTCACCGGGCAGAAGACCGCCGCCGTAGGTCAGGAGGTAGAGGTGCACGGGTTGCGAGGGACAGGTGAGCGCCGAGGACTTGGGGACGAAACCCGGGGTACGGGTGAGGAGTTTGAGGGGGTATTTGTAGGTCAGGGTTGTCAGGGTTGGATTCGAAGGTGGCAGCAGGGAGAGGACAACTTTGCCCTCTCCTGGCTTCGCTATGCACGACTCAAAGGGGGATTTCATTGGCATGCTGGTGGCAGTGGGGGGTGCGGCAGCGGCAGCGGCAGCGGGGGAAAGGATGTTTCAGGGAAGAATGTGTTTTCTTGACGTTTTTTTTTTATTGCGGGGAAAGCTCCCGGGGGTGGACAAGCGGGAAGAGGCTAGAAGAACGAGGATTTAGGAAGAAATACTCGAGAAGAAAGAAAAGAGAGGGTCGTCGATCCGTCGGCTTTTAACAACATCGTCTCTCTTCCCTTCCCCAGCAATGCTCTTTTTATTTTTGGATCAATCTCAAAAAGCAATTCCAGACGACCAGGGGGATGGCGTCATGAAATGGGTGAGTTGGTCGTCAAACGCTCTAAATCCCTTGGCCCTGCATTGATTTTGCAACCATCGATGGAGCTTGTGGCCTTTGTTGACGAAAGAGATCCGGCAGATCGCACTATCGACGCAGGAGTCCCCAGTTTTACTGAAGTTTGATGGGCGTGAATGACTGCGAATCCTCAGGCAGAAGCGGGGTTCACTTGACCCCGTGAACGCGGATTCAATGATTCACAGTCTGGTCCTTCTTGGCTCTCCGGAAGCGAGTGAATGAAAGGAGAGGGGATGGAGTTTGAATGGAGTTGAATGGCGTTGACTGGAGCAACAAAAGACCGAGTGAGGCACAGCCCATGTTTTCATTACGGCATAAATATCACCAACTCCGCACTTTCCTCTTTGAGTCATGTCAGTTAGTTAGTCAGGTGATCTGGTTAATTATTCTGCCAATTCTTACCGCCTTAACACGAGATCCCGTGACTTGCACGAATCAGTAACCCCGTCATGCCTCAGGCATTAAATCCCAGGCACCCAAACTCGGCCAGCGCGTCTCTGTACTGGTAGTGTCTGTCGCCTGTTCCGTCAACGGAGGGACTCCCTCAGTACTCAGTTCTCAGTAACGTAACTTAACATAGCAGCGACAGCAACACTGCAGCATCGCTTGCTTTCCATCCCCCTCACTCCTTCACTCACCACCCTTTCCCCTCCTCCCCCCTTCTTCAGTTCTTATTCTCCGCTACGTTTAACTCAAGCCCACTTACGAAACGCACACGCCCTCCAATTGATTATCCCCGTGCCTCTCTGCCAATTTCCCCTACTGCTTACCTAGTATTCCGTTTCCGCCTTGTCCGCCCACCCGCAGTGCCAACCAAACACACGCGCGCGCAATCCGGTGCAGAAGCCCAACATCGCGTTCCCCGATTCCGTGCCGATCTAGCGTCTATCCAGTCAACAACCCAGTACGCTCTACTACCTTGCGCCAGCTACTCAGCCTCGGCGTATTCATCTCTTTCAATCTGACTGACCATGCGTATTCAAACTATAGTGAATTAATCTTCGAGTCTGACCAGAATGGAGACCGAGTCGCCCCTCTCAACGCCTCAGCCCGAGCCGGCCACCCAGAGCGACGCCTCCCCTTCGACCGATCGGAGAAAATCTGGCCGCGTGACGCGCAGACCCGAACTCTATTCACAAAGCTACAGCGCCAGCAACGGCGCGACCCCCAGCGGTGCGAAACGCAAGCGTGCCGCGACCGGCGACAGCAACGATGAAGGCGAGGAAGGCGAACAGAGTGAGGACCACGCGTCGGAATCCGACGACATCGAATCCGCCGACGAAGAGCCCGACGAGGAAGAACTGAGAGAGCAGAAGCGCGCCGCGCGCAAGGCATCTTCGAAAAAGCAGACCTCCGGGTCATCCAAATCCAAGTCGAATAAGTCTCAGTCGTCTCGATCGGCCAAGAAACCCAAGGTCGCTGCTGCTGCCGGCAATGGCATCGGCCGCCAATTGGCCCTGCGACCCGCAACAAACGGGAAACGGTCGCGGCCCAAACAGATGAAGGCGCGATTGACCATGGCAGCTCGACAAGGCGGGCTGTACGGTAAGCGTTTCAATGTCTCGAATCTTGCATGGCCGTGCGATTGCTAACAGTGTGGTCTAGCGGAGATCTTTGGGAAGGGTCGCAATGTGGAAACTGTTGCCGCGGAATGGCTCACTGCATACCAAGAGGATCAGTCGGCGGCCGTGACTGAACTGGTCAATATGATGCTCAGGTGCTCCGGGACCGATCTTGATGTCGATACGCACGATATTGAGGACGTAGACAACGTACCAACCCGTGTGGGAGACTTGGCGATACGGTACGATGCGGTTGGAATCACTGAATATCCCCTCATATCGAAATCCCGGAAATTGAGGTCATTCCAACCCGTCCTCGAAAGCTTTTTCATGGCTCTGATCCAGACTCTGCATCACTCCTCTGTCCTGTATACCGATCCCAACTTGTTCGAAAATTTGCTGGTCTGGATGGCCGGGTTCTCCACAAGCAGGTGCCGACCATTTAGACATACGGCGGTCGTCATTACTATGACAATCATGAACGCCTTCTGTGATCTCGCTCGAGAAATCACCACTCTGGTTTCCACATCTCGCAAGCAGCTCGAAAGTGAAAGGAAGAAGAAGAACGTGAACAAGGGAAGAGCGGATGCGATTGCGTCAGCTATAGAAGACAATGAACAGAAGATCGAGGTGATCGATGACGCTCTGAAAGACGGCGTGGACATCATCTTCGTGCATCGCTACCGGGACGTTGACCCCCACATTCGAACCGAATGCATGATATCTTTGGGACGGTGGATACGCACGTATCGAGAATATTTCTTCGACGGACAATTTCTCCGATTCTTCGGCTGGATCCTTGCGGACCCTGTTCCTCAGGCACGCCTTGTTGTCGTTAACCAGTTGCGCGATATTTATGGAAACAGAGACAACGTCGCGGGACTACGAGCATTCAACGAACGCTGGCGGCAACGCTTGGTCGAAATGGCCGCCCACGACGCAGATATCACAGTACGCGCCTCGGTCATTGAGCTGCTCGACATCGTCCGTGAGACTGGACTGATTGAGCCTGCCGATATAGACACGGTTGGTAAACTCGTTTTCGATAACGAGGCGCGGGTACGCAAGGCAGCTGGCCGTTTCTTCGTCGCCAATGTTGAAGACGTGTTCGACTCTACCTTGGAGGAACTCGGCGAAGAAGTCAATGAACTCTTCGGTGAAGAGGATGAAGACGACTTCGAATCGCCAAAACGGTCTTGGATCAAGTTCAAATGTCTGGTCGATATACTTCAGGCTTACGACAATATGGAGAGCGAAGAACATCGAGAAGACCCTTCGATCCCTTCGCGAGACGCACTTCTGGGAGCTTCCATGGAAACTCGATTTGTTCTTGCCACAGAGGCCATCTATCCTCACTTGACTGACCTCTCTCACTGGCAATCTCTAGCTGGATATCTTCTGTACGATCATTCTCAAATTTCCGACGACACCGCGGAGGATGACGCCGCGGCCTCGGTTCGACAAGCTTATAAGATGCAAGAAGGCCAGGAAGTGATTCTCCTTGAAGTCCTATGCTCTGCTGTTAAATTGCGCGTTCTTGATATCGCCAAGTCTGACATTGATAAGCGAGGACGGAAAGTCAAGACTTTGACCGATAAGATTCCAGAACTGCAGGAGGAAATCGCACACAGTCTTGCACAAATCATTCCGCAACTTCTGAATAAGTTCGGCTCGGTACCGGAAGCCGCCTCTGCTGTTCTTAGACTCGAGCATCTGGTCGACCTGGGCAAGATCGAAGATATTCAAAAAGATGCAACAGCTTATACCTCGTTGCTGAATGATATTAACAAGCAATTCCTAACCCACTCGGATCGGGATGTTCTTGCCGAAGCCAGCGTCGCATTTCTGCATGCTAAGAGTTCCGACGACATGCGCGAGGCTCTAGAGGGCAAGGTACAAGAACTGTGGGACAACATGATTGATACTCTGTGTACATTATCTCGGGAAACGGAAGTTGCAGAGGGAGGCTCGATAGCTCCAGCCACTCTCAACGAGCTCATCAACACGGTCACCAGGATTTCCAATCTGGCCAGCATCATCGACTGTACTCACGTTCTGGAAACTATGCCGTCCACTCGGACCAAAGGAAAGAGTAAAGACTTTGCGGAGGCGCCGTTCAACACCTTATTGCACCTTGTCGAGCGTGGACTCCGTGCAGAGGAGGACGATGAAGACTCAGCTAAGGCAGAAACGGAATTGGTGGTCAACGCTATCAGGACCCTACTTTTCTACTTCATGTGGAAGGTTCACTCCTTGGTTTCGACCCTGAATGCCGGCAAGGCATCATTTAACACCGCTTTCTTTGAAGCCCTGACCAAAGGCCGCGAAATGTTTGTGGCAGCATTGACTGCTATCATGAAGAGTCGCTCGGGTCTCGATGATATCCGCTTCTGCGCAGCCACGACTCTCTTAGACCTACAGACTTTGTTTGGCACCCTCCGCCATGCGGGGCTCGGCGTGGGCAATGACGAAGACACCATTTTCCAGACCCAAAGCCTGGTCCACGAAATCGGGGACGAGCCCAAGGCCCTGATCACCAAGATCCACGGCATCGCGGAACGGACATATGCAAAGAAGATCCGCGTCTCGCTCGAACCCGCCGATGACGACGAGCCTCTGTCCGATGACGATATCCAGAAGGCACCGGTGGATGAAGACGAGGAGGAAGACGAAGACGAAGACGCCGACCAACCGCTCGACGACGAGCGTCTCCGGTCCAGCATCGTGGCCGAGCAACGGCTCTGCGAGCTGACCGGAAAGATCGTCCTCGCCATCGTAGGCCGCATCCTGGACGCATCAGGCTCCGACCAGGGACAACTACGGAAGCGCCTCCTTCACCACAAGGCCAAGCTCGGTCGGAATTACCGCGAGGTCCTGGCCTTCCTCGGGGATCGCAAGCCCCGAACCGCCGCATCACGAGCCACGCCTGCCCACTCCAGGGCGAAACAGCCCGCTGCTGCTCCCGCTCGGCCCACGACCGACAAGCCTCGCCACGGCGGCGCCGCTAGCAGCAGCGGTGCCAACCCAACGACCAAGCAGCGCAAAGAATCTCACAAATCCGCTGAACGAATCGAGGACGATGATGACGACGACGACGACGACGAAGAGGAGGAGGAAGAGGAGGAGGACGCAATCGAGGACGACGGCTCCGAAGACGGCGAGGAGGACCTCCGAGCCCGAGGTCTCGTCGAGGAAGGAAACATTGACCTTGACGTCGATCAACATCAAGACGAGGATGCGAACGCGGCCTCCCCTGAGCCGGATGACGAGGACGAAGTCATGGGTGATTGAGATGTTAATTACTGTAGTTTGATTTTCCTATATGCTGTTTCTCTCTCCTTCGTGTGTGTCCATATTCCATTTGTTTATTTTATCTGCTTGCTTGTTTCGGAGACAAGGCAAACAAACTTAAGTGGCAAAATTTCACGGTGTTCCCTTTTTTTCCCTTGTTTTTTCCCCTTCGCGTGTCTATTCAAGCCTGGGTTCTTTTTTGTCTCTGTCGTTCTGTGTAGTAGGGTAGGCGTAACTTCTATCATCGTCCTTACTTCGATTTGCTTTGTTTGATCATTTAGGTTTGGTGGTAGGGCATTAAGCTAGATGGACGGACATACTCCGTACGGCGTACTCTCTGTTTATTCCTTTTGTTCTCATTCAGCACCGAGTAAAAGAATCAGATGGCTGGGTTTGTTCTCAGGCTGTGGGATTGGTCTCTTCTGGTGCTGCATTCAGGATGATTGATCCCCTAAAGCGTGGGGCGTAGGACTTGCCATTCTTTCGGAGATCTTCACTTGGTCTCTAGTATGTGTGCTTTTGATTCATGTGCAGTACCAGTGTATGACCTACCCGCATGCCACGAGTGGATGAGTCTGGAGAGGTAGTGGTTGAACTAACGAGGATTGATATTGACATTTACGGAGAGGATTAGTGCACTTGGATTTATTGACGCGGTGCAATGGGTCTGAGGTGGTCAGGTTGAGGTGTCAGGCGATGTGATAAGGTAATCTTTGTACCTACCTAGGTGTCAAATCCTGATCTTATTGATCGTGTGTACGGAAAGTGCTCCTGCTTCGACACCATTCATATCACTGTCACATGCTACATCAGGGTATATCTACAAGCCACAAGATATGCACAAGCTACAAGATCAACCATGATTACACGGACCTAGCGCTTAAGAAGAGGGAAAACTTTCCATTTTCTGACCTAGAGTGGAAACCATCCCCGCCATCGTCGCTGAATAGAACGATAGATATACCGCTTGGAGAGCGATCTGTTGATCATCAGTCCGCCCTGTCTTCCCCTCTGCGTCAGCGGAAAGAGGGAACCATGCAAAGCTAGCGATATACCACTCTTCCTCTCCAGAAAAGCAAAGGCGGATGGACGGACATCCGCATTCTAAGCCCTCACAAAAAGACAACCGAGGGGCAGAAAAGAACAACCATCCAGGAGAGACATGAACATGAGACCGAAAGGGGGAAGAATGAAACAGGTGCGCCGGTGTATGAGGAATGCTACGGTAATAGGAAAGAAATTTGGGGGGTGAGTACATGACGGTGAATCTTGTTTATCGTGAACTTATCAAAACGGTATTGTGAGTAGGAGGGGTGGGGGACGGCGGAACGCAAATGTCGAAACCTCGAGTTGCAAAAGAAAGGGTGGTTTGGAATGAGAAAATGACATTTGTGGCGGTGCAGCAAGTTCTCCCCAAAGCACTCTTGAAGAACTTGAATCAAGAGCGATCGAAAGAGTTCAGAGTCCCAAAGCCTCCGCGTACTCGGAGGGTTTTGGGGTCCACAGCGCAGCCTCCTCCAGCCGCCATGTGTGACAGATCTAGCGATAAGGCATGGACTTGACATGAATACACCAGATCGTTGGAGATTCAGATTAAGAGTGCGGACACTCCGCTCTTTACATGTCCATGGAATCACCACCACCGTTGGCGAAGTTGAAGCCGCCAGGCTGCTGTTGCGTCGTACCAAGGGCAAATCCGGTCTGTGTTTGCTGAGGAGCAACCTCATCGATATCACCAGCCTCGTCCTCATCAGAGAAGTACTTCTCGATGATGTTGTACGCCTTCATGTAGATCTCCTCGTTGGCGTTGTTCTGGCAGTCGTGGATCTTCTCCATGCCACCAGCCTCCTCGATGAACAGGGCGTAGCGGTTGACGCGAGCATCGCCAGCCTGAGCAGCTTCCTTGTCCATGTCACCAACCTTGAGGATGTTCTCGAGGCCGTCCAGCGCAACCTGGATGATCTTGTTGTCAGGGCAAGCAAGGAGATCGCACAGAGGCTTGATGCACCCCTGGGTGACGAGGTAGCGGATCTGCTCGGGCTTCTGAAGACCACCGGATGTGGCGTTGGAAATAGCCCAGCAAGCTTCCTTGCGGGTCTTGAAGTCGCCATTGGCGAGCAGGTTGATGAGAGGAGGAATGATGCCAGCATCGACAACAGCCTGGATTTGGGTGGAGTTGCCAGCGGTGATGTTGGAAATGGTCCAGCAAGCTTCCTTGCGAATACCATCCTTGGTGGAGCTCAGGAGGGAAAGAAGGGCGGGGAGAGCACCGCAGTTGATGATGACCTGGGTCTGGACGTCGTCACCGGTCACGATGTTTCCAACGGACCGAAGGGCGGGGGTCTGAACAGAGGTCGAGGCGTGCATAAGGAGCTCGACAAGGCGGCGGGGGATGCCAGCCTCGATGACAGCCTGGATCTTGTCGTTGGCGCCATCGGACAGGTAAGAGATAGCCCAGCAGGCATCGATCAAGACTTCGTCATCAAGCATGTAGATAAGCTTGGCAAGGACGGGAAGGGCGGGGGCAATCTGTTGGAATGTGGGTTTTAGCGCGAAGCTTTTCTTCATCTAAATGCGGGAGAAAACATACGGTGTTCCAGTCAGGCTGGGGAGTCTTGCCACGGCAGAAGTTGCTCAGGGTCCAGGTGGCGTTGCGGAGCATGCTCAGCTTGCGACCATCGTTGATCAAGTTAAGGAGGGGGCGGAGAGCACCGGCGTTCAGCACAAAGTCACGGCACTGAGGGCTGTCACCAGCAATGTTACCGAGGGCCCAGACGGCCTGCTCCCGCACATCGGGCTCAGGGCTGCTCAAGAGCTCGACAAAGATGGGCACAGCGCCAGCCTCGATGACCACCTGGGTTTGCTGGGCGGAACCGGAGGCAATGTTGGTCAAAGCCCAAGCAGCTTCGAATTGAACAAGAGTGTGAGGAGAACGAAGGAACTCGACGAAGCGGCTCACGACTCCAGTCTCAATGACGCGCTCGATAGGAGGGTTGCGCTCCTTGGAAAGCAGCTTCCGGAACTTGGTAGTAGCCTGGATCTGCTGGTCGATCTGCTCGGAGAAGACGCCCTTAACCATCTCCGGGAGCTCAACGTTAAGCTAAACGGCAAACTGTTAGCCATCAAAGCGGTAAAGGAAGATGAATAAACGAGTAACCAGGATGGGGATAAGGTGATGTTGCGCGGGGATAAGTCCTATCCAGCTCAAGCTCACTTTGGCGGCAAGCGGTGAAAAGCTCATTGCTTCGCATTGGCAAAAGGAAAATAAGCTGCGCCGCCACCGCTTGCAGAAAATCAAGCACACGAGCGACAAAACAAAAGGTGATGACATGCTAATTTAAGCGGAAGATGAAAAAAGAAAAAAAGCGAGATGGAAAGCATACCTCACTCTCGATAGCGCTGGCCTCGTCATCACTCTCAGCGGCAACACCGCCGCCTACACCAATTCCACCATCACGGGTCTGGATACCTCTTCTCTTGGCCAAGTTCTCTTCTCTCTTCTGCTTGCGAATTTCAACCTGCTGCTCCTCACGGCGACGACGGAGTTCATCAGGCTTGAACTGGTTTCGGGCCTTGAACTGGGTGCGACGGTGCTCGGGGATGTAACGTTCGGCCATGGTTGCTAGGACACAGGAGGGGTGAAAACAAAGCGCACAGGTGACTGATTAGCTAAAAGAGAGGAGAAGAGAAAAAGAAGCGGAAGGTTTTATGTCGATAAATAGACAGAAGACCAGTGGAGTGGATGGTTCTGAAGAAGGGAGACCAAGGGAAAGCTAGCCTTGGAGAAGAGGGAGGGTGAGCGCAAAGAAAGAAGTGAAGTTGAAGGAGGGGAAAAAAGTGTTGATGCTCGGAGGTGGGATTGGCTCCAGTCACGGGATGCCTTATGATTTGCTGCTTGCGGTCGCCGCGGGCTGCAAGCGCCACTTCCGCCTAAGCGGTTTTGCCGCGGAGGGGCTGTGCTGTGCACGAGCTGATTGGTCGCACAAGAAAGAGGCAAAAACAAACATCTTTTTTCAGGGCAGAAAAAGCTCGGTGCATGAGAGAAAAATGCAAAGAATGCAAAAAGAAGAATTGCTCACACTCGGACTCGAACCGAGGATCTCAGCATTACTAGTGCTGCGCTTTACCATCTAAGCCATGCGAGCTAATTGCTGGAAGCGTGTGCTCTTTTTTGTTACATACTCTAAATCAAGACGCGAAAAGGAAGGAAGCTCTAAACCGCGGAACGCGTCTCATAAATAAGTTGATCGTCTTCCAGCTTCATCTTCTACACTTCCGCTTCTTCCAGAAAATGAATCTCTTAATCCTTACTGGCTTCAATTGATGTGATGGTCAGTACTTGGCTTTGACCAACCACAATACCTCTAATCGATTTGACCCTTTCTGCCCAAGATTCAAGCAGTAGTTCGGCAGTCGAGTGGAGGTCAATCAATGAAATCTAGTCCGTGACACCTGCACCGTTCATGGCTTGAAATACTTTCTTGTATCCCTAGCAGACCCCCGTAGTATGTCGACTACCAGTCGCAATGCCGGCCAACTTCACTCCTAGACTAGTGGACATTGCCAAGGCGCTCGCATCTCCTGGCAATGTCAACATCATCGGGGTCGTGGTCGACGTGATGCCCGGCGTCTGGAAGTCTCGAGGCACCTCTACCTGCATTACCTTCACGATCAAAGATTCCAACCTGGAAAATGGCCATACGTGGGACGGGTTGAAGGTCAAATACTTCAGGGATAACGAGGATAGTCTACCACCCGTCAAAGTGCATGATGTAATCCTGCTGCGCAATTTATGGGTTCGTGGTCGATTCATGGCTCTATCCCCTCAAGCAATTGATACTCACAATTCTCGCTGCAGGTCCGGCCATTACAAGGCGGAACTCTGGGAGTGGCCGCGCAGGATCGGGACATCCCATGGGCCATTTTCTGTTCGGACCCGAATTCAATGGCCAGATCCTCGCCGATCTGTGGCCCCCGGCCCTTTGAGCCTGATGCTGTTGAGAGAAGGAAGGCCCTATCTCTGCTGGACAAAGTCGCTAGCATCCACGACTTTCGCAAAGCTTCGGTAGAAGCCCGTCCTCCACCTTCCTATGTGGTTCAGACCTCCGCGCCGAACTCTAGGTCATACAACCGCAAGAAATTCTCGCTGATCAAAGATATCGAAGAGCAGACTTTCGTTGACTTGGTCGGGGAAGTGATCAAGATATACCCAAATGACAGCGAGAAGGCCTTGCTTTACCTGACCGACTACACCTCCAACAAAGATCTGCACGACTATTCGCCGGACAATGGCGAGGGCAGCGGCGAAGGCTGCGAAGGAGACACCTTTAACTACCAGAGACGATTTCGAAAAAAGTGGACGGGGCCCGCTGGGCAGTTGTCTCTCCCGGTCACATTATGGGAGCCACACGCAGCGTACGCCCGTCAGCATGTCAAGGAGGATGATATCGTTCTCTTGTACAACGTCCACATCAAAAAGAATCGCGTCAATGGGAGATTGGAAGCTACCATCCATACCAACCGAACCAATCCTCTGGCGGCAAACGTGGTCGTCGTGCAACCTCACAAGGACGTGCGAGCCCAGCAGTTGATCGACCGGAAAACCGCATACTGGGAATCGCACCCCCGAAAACGAAAGCCCGCTGAGGAAGACAACCAGAAGGCTCCCAAGAAGGTCAAATCAAAGACGCGGAAGAAGGAAGCCCTTGCGGACGGCCAACAGCCTCTGGCCCCGCCCGTCACCAACCGGGGTCGCTACGAAGCAAACCCTAACGGTCAGTCACTTTACAGGGACAGGTTCCAGGAATGCTGAAATTAACGATCTATAATAGTACGCGCTGGCAACCCGTCAGTTCCCACCCGGAGTCTTGAAGCTATAATCGCCTCTGAAGAGCACACCAACCGGTCACCGGACAACATCGAATACCGCTTTCCCTTCCAGAACTTCTGCTATCGAACGAAAGTCCGCGTGGTCGATTATTTCCCTCATGATCTGGAAGACTTCTCGGTCCCAGTTCCCCGAGCTGCATCAAGTGAAGGCAGTGACAGAGAAGACAACGGCTTCATGACTTGGGAGTGGCGCTTCTGTCTCCTAGTCGAGAGCGTGCCTCCACCCCCAGCAGGACAAGCCAAGCAACAAATCAGATTGTTTGTCTCCAGGGGCGAGGCAGTGTACCTCCACGGTATTGATGCGGTAGAGTAAGTCACAATCGTTCATCTTCTACGCAGATCCCATCGACTGACGCTGTGCCAAATCGTCATCGCTCAGCCTCAGGAGAAATCCGGTCGACCTTGCGAATCTGCGAGAAAAATTGTTCCATGTCTGGGGCAATCTAGAGGAACTTAAACGAGCGGCCAGAGAGAAAGGCGCTGAAGCACCACATGATCTAGGTGCATTATCTCAGCAACCGTTCAATTGCTGCATTCAGGAATATGGGGTCAGGTGCAGGCATTGCATTGACACAGTCGATGTCGACTACGACGGCGGCGGCGACGGCGGCGGCGATGTTGCCCCGGCATGTACCCATGAGGACTGCTTTGGCTGGGAGAGGCGGTTTGCGATGTTCATGACCACAATCGAGGCTTGAAAGGAGCTTGAGGTGACGGTTTTTATCTTCTTCTACCTTGACTATACCCTGAACGTCATGCATCGAAGGTCATTTTCAAGGTTTGGCTTGGGTTTTCAGATCTTCACGTCTTTAATTTATTGCATCCAACCATCTTGTATGATCTGGTGATGACCTCGGGGGTTATATCTATGGGGCAATACCTTTATTCTGGATATACGTTACGTTATGAATCTGAATAGAACGAGACCGCTCCGTATGCTCAAACCTATGTCAAATGCACCAACTCAAGGCTACCGCGAGTGAAAGGGAGCAACGTTACAAGGAAATCAGCGCTTCCAAGGGCAGTCCTCAGAATGACAAGAGATAAAGGAAAACAAAGTGTCAAAAGCTTTTCATCATACTAGATATGCTTGTGGTCAGGAAAGCTAAATCTTAGTCACCTTCACAACGGTGGTATCGATTCCATGCGAGGCCGGTTCGAACCGACAACTGGAGCCCCAATGGCACTCTCTCTGGCCCGGTTCGCTATAGGGACACCGGTGTCCAAACGTACATTCGGGGTCATGGCATTCCAGTCCATAGCGGCAGGGGATCATGCGAGCAATGGCTGCCAGCATTACATATTCGCTTCTGGTCAATTTGTGCGAGTGATCATGCTGGCAGTCATCTACAGGACACTCCCCCTGCAGATGATAGTAATTGCACAACTTCAGCTTCTTGAGGCGATTCATGTCCTGCTGGTTAATCTTCTTCATGTCGAGCCTGTCAACTCGTTGCCCGTACTTGTTGCGCTCGACGACCTTGGGCTGTGCGGGCGCGGCCGCTTTGGAGCGCACCACCTGGAATCCTTCTTCTGGGCTGGATGGCCTGGATGAGGCGAGCGATAGTGATACGCTGGGGGTTGTGGACGCTTGGTTCGCAGACCGTGGAGAGAGCTTTGTCTCCGGCTTGGGTGACGGAGTGAGCTGGGAGCGGGGCTGCGTGGCCACGGCAGCTTTCCAGGGAGACCAGATGGGAAAGATTTTCGATTCACGGAAGATCTCCGGCCACTGCAATGTCCTGAACGATGAGCTGACGGCATTCAAGTTCTCACCGAAAGGCAATGCTTCGAGCAAGGTCACTCGCCCCATCAGGTCCTTGTCGTCAAGGTGATCTCCCAGAACCTGAAAGAAGGAATTTTCATCCGCACAGCCCAGGAGGATTTGATGGCAGTGGCAATTGTAGAGATTGAGTTCAAAGGCTTCTACATAAAGATGATGGTCGAATCAGCGCGGATTGAATGCAGGATGGAGACTGACGAGAAGCTTACCTGCAATCTTATTGTGCGCACTATCCGCTTCGGCGCCCGTGTCCACGATGTCAACCGAAGGATAGCAACTATTGAAGCCGCGAATGAAATCCTGCAGCAACGACGGATCGGTGGTTATGCCGCCTCGAATACAGGTCTCGCTAAGTGCTTTCACATTGATATACATTCTTGTCAACAATTTGGGGCCCTTGGCGCTGGGGAGCTGGTTGGCGTTAAAGGCCTCAAGCTCGTCGTGAAGCTTCTGGGCTGCGAGCTTCCCGCCCTGTGTCCCCTTTTTGAGGTACGCATCCTTGAAAATGAACCCAGATCCGTCCAAGAGAACAATTATGTAGGGTTGGCGGTTCTGGAATGGAGTGAGAAAGTTGAGGTCAGCACAGACTGCGTTGCGGGAACTATATAGTGTCAGACCCACCATGGAAAGTTGGAACCGAGAGACCTGCCCCATTAGTTCCATCTCATGTACTTGGATATCTCGATTAAAGCGCTTCTCGCGCTCATGATCAAGCTTTTCCTGTTCGTATGCATCTTCAAGTTGCGCCACTCGCTGCAGGAGTTCCTGTGCCCCGCGAAAAAAGTAGTGTCAACGCAATGCATACATATAAAAGATTGTCGCGGATTGAGTAGCTGTGTATGTACCTCGATCAGCAGGTTCTTTTTCTGTTCTGTGAGAACCAGGTTTCTATAGCGATCAAGATATGTGGTGGCCGTCATGGTGATCAGTCAGGTCAGATTTAATCGCGGTATTGGTACTTTTGGCTAATCGTCCAAATAAACAACAAGAAAATTAAGCGTAGAGATTAGTTAGGAAGAGCGACAGAGTCAAAGATCAGTGTTATATATATATGAGTTTCAAAAGAGCTGGAGATATAGGCAGATGAATTCAGAAACTAAGTATGATTAGACATTCACTGCGATTGAGATTACAACACGAGAAAAGGAGAGGAAGAGAAAGGAAGAGAGGTCGCTCTACAAGGATTGCAATCAAGAGTCAAAGGCGTGGAGCTGGACTGACACTTGACACCAGCCGGCACTTGCACTAAATAGTGAATAGTCTACCTAGTAGTGTACAGTGAAAGTGACTGACTGACTGGCCTGATAAACGCGGCACGGCAACTGGCAGGTTGAGTGACCGCCCGGGGAAACTGCCGGAACTGCCGTAGTTAAGCGCTGAGTCAGCTACTAGCATGGGGAAAGCAACCGAGCCGAAACGCCTACGTGGAGCAAACGCCCTCCCATCCGATTTCCCCTTCACATCATCATCTACAATCCTCCCTCCTCCTCCTACTCCTCCTCTTCATCTTCCTCTTCCCCCTCCCCTCCCCTTCCCTCTCTTTCGTTCTCCTCTTTCGGTTCTTCCATCGCTACCCAAAGCCGTCTCACAATGGCTCGTCTTGGTTTCTTGTCTCTGGCTCTCCTTTCCGTCCAGGCCCTGATCGGCGGCGGTCTCGCGGCTGTATGTTTTACCCTCGTCTGAATCAATCAGATTACTCACGTGTCTCAATTGTCGAGTCACTAACTCAATGCTCTTTCTCATATCTCTAGGATGCTGTCGAGAAGGATGAAGCTCCCCAGACTCCCAACCTTGCTGTCACCGCGCAGGCTGCTTTCCCTGCCTCTGAGTTCTTCGGCGTGAAGCTGGTCAATGGCCACCCGACCCAGGCGCTGATTACCTTCGCTAACGATGAGCCCAACCCGGTGACTGTCAACTTCATTGGAGGCTCTCTGTGGTCTCTGGGCGAGGAGGAGAACCGCATCGTTCGCAACCTGACCGCCCACCGATACAGCCTTGAGATCCCGGCCGGTGAGCAGGAGAGCGTGAACTTCAACTTCGCCACCGAGATGCACCCCCAGGATCTGAGACTTGAGCTGGCTTCCGTCATCTCCGACATCGAGGGCAACGTTTACACCCTGTACACCTACAACGGCACCGTCAGTGTGGTTGAGCCTGAGACCAGCATCTTCGACCCCCAGATGTAAGACCTCACTGCTCCCTCCCATCGTTCCAGGGAATATCCACTAACAATGCTGGCCACAGTCTTTTCCTGTACTTCTTCCTCCTGGCCTGCTTCTCTGGTGTCGTCTACTTCTTCTACACCGTTTGGATCGCCCCCTACTTCCCCCAGAAGCGTCGCGCTGGCAAGGCCCCTGAGACCATCAAGAAGTCGACTGTGCCCAAGAAGGAGGAGATCCCCGTGGAGGGACCCGCTGTCACTTCTGCCACCACCTACAATGCCGACTGGATCCCCGCTCACCACATCAACCGCCCCGAGGCCCGCAAGGTGAAGGGCAGCAGCTCCCGCTCTAAGAGCCGTGCTTAAATGTCATTGGTGACATCATGAACGGTGGCTGTGTAAGATGAAGATAAGGGAAGGATTCAATGCCCGTAGAGGGGACCTTGAGTGGTTCTCTCTATAAGGCTGAAGACAGGATGACCCGTTGACAGAAACGACTGCTGAAATGTGGTCGGTCGACTGGGGCTCCTGCTCTTTTATTTTGCGTGTACATTTATGTCCACATTTGATTTAGGCAAATGAAGCTTTTGCAACTCAGGCTTCAGGTTTCCATTAGAAACACTCAAGGCTTGAATATTGAACTTGAACAAGGGATACCACGCCCTTGCTCCTTGAACCCAAACCTTTACCCATATCCCCATGTCCATTATGTACCTTTTTTTAAAAATATTATAACCGCCTCCAAGCGTCGAACTCCTCCGCAAGGTGCGCCTTGAGCTCGGTGAACCGATTCCCGAACCCCTGCCCACAGCGCCAACAGACAAAGTCCCGGCGCAGATACCCCATCTCATCCGGCCGCCGCCGGGGATCATCTTCCGCGAGGGGAAAGTCCTCGATAGGCACGAAGAACGGCGTAGAGAAACTATTGTAATGCTTCCGATGCTTCAGCCGGTCGCTGTAGCGGTCCACGGAGATGACATGGATGTGCAGGTGGTTCATGGACGGATGCGCGTGGATCCCACACATGATCTCGCGCTCCCAGTCGCGCCCGCGCGGCAGCTCCGCCGGCGGGGGGTCGCGGTCCAGCGCCGCCCTCCGCGCCTCCTCCTGCGCCGAGTACCGCCCGTGCATCCGGCGCAGCTCGCCCGCGGCCAGCGCGCGCAGCCGCTGCGTCTCCGCCCGCACCTTTTCCAGGAAGGCCGCGCCGTCGGATGAGGAGGAGGAGAGGGCGTCGAACGGGTGGAGGCGGGTTTTGGTGGGGTCGCGGGGTAGGAGGAGCAGGTGCAGCGTGGATTTGGGGAAGAGGTCACGGACCGCGACGAAGTCGTCGTTGTGGTAGATTACGGTGCTAGAGGGGTAGGCGGCTGGGTTGGCGATGTAGGCGCCGAGTCCGTCGCGGGGTCCGCCGATGGCTCTTCGTTTTGTTGAGGTTGTGGTGGTGGTGGTGGATTTGCGCTGCTTGCTCTTCGTGGACATTAGCTCCGCGACTGTGGGGGCGTTGGATTAGAACATATTAGTGATTGTTTTCTTGAGCTTTCTCTGTATGCGCTGGGATGTATTGCGAGGGAGGAGGAGGATAAGTGAGTGAGGGTAGGGGGAAAGGCATAAACGGCGCAATTGCAATCGCAATCGCAATCGCAATCGCTCGCGCAGCGCTCGAGTTCGTTGGACATACAGGCATCTCGCTTGATTGGATTCTTCTTCTCCTTCCCATCTCCCGAACTGTCTGCTCTGTAACCCGATGACTCGGACATGGCAGCGGAGCTATAGTATCATGGGCGAGTCACCATTGCTGGCTCATGGCTGTGGTCGCGGGCGCAATGAAATCATGTAGATGCGGAGAGCACAACCCGAGTTAACTTAACCTAAAATGCTCCCCGCAGCGAACACCAACTCGGCCAAAGCGGTCAAAGTGCGGGACAACAATTAAGTCAAATCAATCAATTAATTATCAACCAGCAAGCAGCCAAAAGCAAGTCCCCCGTGCCACAACAAGTTCTTTTTTCTTTGCCTACAAGAGGGGCTTTGCCTTGCTCCCTCCCTTCCCTCCCCTTCTCTCGAGAACAAGCAAAGAAAACACCCAACAAGCATGGCCCCCAAGAAAAAGTCCGAGAACCGGGGAGGCGCTCCCAAACCCGGGACGAAGCAGGCCAAAGCCGCGGCCGAGCGATCGGCTGAGACGGCGAAGAAAGCGCAGACCACGACCGACGAGCAGAAGAAACCTTCGGTCAAGGAGGTCATTGGAGGAGCTTCATGGACCGGGAAACTGCCTGTGAATATGCTCGCGGAGCATTGTCAGAAGCAGAAGTGGGAGAAGCCGGAATACACGATGGTGAGTTTTGTGTGTATCTTGGGGTTCTTTCTTTGGGCTCCCAGGAACTATATACCCTCACACCTTTGTGTGCTTGCCAGCGGGCGCGCAGTCGCTTGTTTGAGCTGATTCGACGGACCTGGATCTGACTGCGAACGTTGCAATAGATGAAAGTCTCAGAGGGGTTCGTCTCCAGCGTGATTCTGAAGCGCGTTGACCCGAAGACTCGCGAAACGATCGTCCTTCCTCCGATGAAGCTGCCCCCGTCGCATAAGCACCTCGCTGCCCAGCCTACCGCGCTCGAGGCTCGACATTTCGCCGCAGCGTATACGTTGTACCGAGTCTGCAATATGAAGAATCTCCACATGATGATGCCGCCCACATATAAGAAGCTCTGGCGCGAGGATTTCACGGATCTCAAGGCGGCGGACTCCAGGGAAGGGAAGGGCTGGATGTACGAAGCTGACCCGTTTCTGGCGAAGCTGGAGCGCGAAAGCGCCGCGGCGGACTTGGAGAAGAAGCGCAAGGAACGGGAGAAGCTTCAGGCCGCCAAGGCAGCGGAGACGACGGTCGATCTGGGACTGGGTTCCAGCGGCGGTGGGCAGAACAAGGGACGGAGCATCTGGTCGCGTGCGCCCAAGGTTGATCTTGGCGGCAAGATCCGCCGTGAGATTGAGGGTATGCTGCGAGAGCATGCGATCTGGAACCCCTACGGGGTGGAGATTCCGCAAAAGGAACGTGATGCCATTGTCGATGAGCTCACTCGTCTCGGCTTTCGACGCAGCCACGTCGAGGAGGCTGTCGGCACTTGTAAAGACCGTGAAGAGGTCCTTGAATGGCTTCTCATCTACGTGCCGGAAGACGATTTGCCTCGCTGGTGCTTGCCCGAGGGCTATTCGGCGGGCGTGAGCCTTGCAAGTGATGACCTTGCCAGAGAGGCGAAGATCAAACGTCTCACTGCTATGGGCTATCCCGTCGATCTCTGCACGCGGACTTTGGACAGCAAGAAAGGAGATGAGCTTGCTTCAGCGGAGACTCTCCAGAATACATTGGTCCACGGCGGAAATGCTCCAGCTGAGCCTGCTTCTTCCGGTGAGGAGGATTCATGGGCAGAGGAGCAAGAAACACTCGAGGCAATTTTCGGGGATAGGTATATACGGGCTTCTGACAAGGTCTGTGAGATCAAGGGTGAAAACCCCGACTTGCCAGAGCCGTTGACTTTCCGGTTCCAACGACCTTCGACGCATTATCCATCTTCTCCGCCGATCATCTCTATCCAGGCGAAAGGTATTCCTGCCTATATACGTCTTAGTGCGATACGTCAGGTGGTTCAGTACTCCGAAGAGAATTTTGTAGGAGAGCCTATGATCTATAACATGCTGGATTGGCTGGAGACCAATCTCCCCTCAGTTATGGAGAATCCAGGGAAGCTGCGAGACATCTCGACGGTGACAGCTCCCCTTGCCCCCGCCGGGACCACCTCGAATCTTCCCATGCGCTCATCGCGCAAGAGAGGATACGAGGTCAAGTGGCAACCAGGTGCACCGCAAAGCGTTTCGCTACGCGAGTCTTGGGAAGCGAGGCAGTCAACCAAAGACCAGCAGGACATGCTTCGAAAGCGCCAGTCGCTCCCGGCCTGGAACACCCAGGAAGCCATCATCAATGCTGTGAACACACATCAAGTTACGATCATCTCCGGAGAGACCGGTAGTGGAAAGAGTACCCAATCCGTCCAATTCATGCTCGACGACCTAATCAAGAGGGACCTCGGCGCTGCCGCCAACATCATCTGCACCCAGCCGCGTAGGATCTCTGCTTTGGGCCTGGCGGATCGAGTCAGCGACGAGCGATGCACACCCGTCGGCGACGAGGTAGGATACATCATTCGAGGAGAGTCGAAGGTCAAGTCAGGGCGGACAAAGATCACTTTCGTCACGACGGGTGTCTTACTCCGTCGCATGCAGTCGGGCAGTGGCCCGGATGGCAATGTTGCAAGCTCTCTCTCAGATGTCACTCACGTCGTCGTTGATGAAGTGCACGAGCGCAGTCTCGATACCGACTTCCTCCTAGCTCTTCTCAGAGACGTTCTGCGCCACCGCAAGGATATCAAAGTCATTCTGATGAGTGCAACCCTCGACGCAGAGATCTTCATCAATTATTTCGGCGGCCGAGAGTCGGTTGGTCTGGTCAACATCCCGGGACGGACTTTCCCTGTCGACGATTACTACTTAGACGATGTTATTCGGGACACTGGGTTCTACCCCGAGCTCACAGAGCGGGACTTCGACGACGAGGCTCCATCCTCGCAGCAGTCCGACGAGCCCCTTGGCAAGGTCCTACGTAGCCTCGGAATGGGCATCAACTACGAGCTGATTGCCTCTACCGTCCGATATATCGATGCCAAGCTGGGCGATCAGCCCGGGGGCATCCTGATCTTCTTGCCCGGTACCATGGAGATCGAAAGATGCCTCAACGCTGTGAGAAGAATCCCGAATACTCATCCTCTACCTCTCCATGCATCTCTTCTACCAGCTGAGCAGCGCCGTGTCTTTCAAAGTGCCCCCAAAGGCATGCGCAAAGTCATCGCTGCCACCAACGTCGCCGAGACATCCATCACCATCGAAGACATTGTGGCCGTCATTGATACCGGCCGCGTGAAAGAGACGAGCTATGACCCGCGAGACAACATTGTCAGGCTACAAGAGGTGTGGGCTTCGCAAGCAGCCTGCAAGCAACGCCGCGGACGTGCCGGTCGTGTCAGGGCAGGAACATGCTACAAGCTCTACACACGCAAGGCCGAGACGAGCATGCCTCACCGACCTGACCCGGAGATCCGGCGCGTACCGCTGGAGCAACTCTGCCTGTCCGTGAAAGCCATGCAAGGCATCAGCGACGTCGCGCACTTCCTCGCCAACACCATCACGCCACCCGAGAGCACCGCCGTCGAGGGCGCCCTGGACTTCTTGCACCGCGTCGGGGCGCTCGACCACGACCGGCTCACAGCGCTGGGCCGCTACCTCTCCATGATCCCGGCGGACCTCCGGTGCGCCAAACTGATGGTCTACGGCTCGATATTCGGCTGCATCGACGCCTGCATGACCATCTCCGCCATCCTCACGGTCAAGAGCCCCTTCGTCTCCCCGCGCGACAAACGCGAGGAAGCCACCGCCGCCAAAGCCGCCTTCACCAAGGGTGCCAACGACGGCGACCTCCTGACCGACCTGCTCGCCTACCAACAATGGTCCGACCGCGTCCAAGCCCACGGCTACTGGCAGACCCAAAGCTGGTGCATGGCCAATTTCCTCTCGCATCAAACCCTGCGCGACATCTCCTCCAACCGCGCCCAACTCCTCACCTCCCTCAAAGACGCCGGCCTCCTCCCCGTCGACTACTCCTCCTCTTCCCAAACCCAAACCCAAACCCAACCCCAACCCCAATCCTCCCCACGCAGCGCCAGCAACAACAACAACAGCAACAACTGGAACCGCAACACAACCAACAAACCCCTCCTCCGCGCCCTCATCGCAGGCGCCTTCCAGCCGCAAATCGCGCAGATCTCCTTCCCCGACAAGAAATTCGCCGCCTCCATCACCGGCACCGTCGAGATCGACCCGGACGCCCGCACGATCAAGTACTTCAACCAGGAGAACGGCCGCGTCTTCATCCACCCGAGCTCGCTGCTGTTCTCCGCCCAGAACTACCCCGGCGGCGCCGCGTACCTGAGCTACTTCACCAAGATGGCGACGAGTAAGGTATTTGTGCGGGACTTGACTCGTAAGTTTTGCTG